AGAAGCTATTTATACTTTTGGGATACTGGGATATTGAGAAGAAACAAAATCCCAACTACAGTAATAGCTTTCTTCCTTCCTTACTTCTTAAACTATTGGTCACAAAGCAGCATCATTCATAGTAGAAACTTTAAAAATAAATACTAATTATCATCAAGAGGTTTTCATACTGAAATATGCTATTCAGTGGGTAAAATTAGAGATAGTACAGAAGGTTATGAAATACAAGGAAAAGGTATTTTTTTCTAATTTCTTTCAAAATTTAAGGGCTGTCTTATACATTGGGGCATCTTATAAGCAGCAAAACACAGTAATATGCTTTAATGTGACATGAACTGATACTGTACCTTTTACAAAGACATTAAAAATAAAAATTCCTGATCATAGTTGTGTTTTAGTAATCTACATAAATGTCTATTTACTTTTATAGCAGTGAGTTAGTTCAAACCAAATCAGAATAGGTTAAAAGCTCCTGACTCATGCAATCTGCTTAGCATCACTAAAAATGCAGTTTAGATAGAATAACTATCCCTTAATTTTGCAGCTTTTAAACATCAAATTCTTTTCTTTCTTATGTCTAAATTTATCAAGATACATGCACAGATCTGTGCGCGCGCACACACACACATGCATATACACACACACAATTGCACAGAAAGTAGTCAACTTGGAAACTATCATTCTCTAACTTGACACTAAACAGGTGACTATTTGTAACATTTGAATATTAAGAATTTACAAGATGTAACAATTTTTCAAAAACTCTACTTTGAAGTTAGTTCTTTTTAATTAGTTGCATCGAACTATAAATGTTTTTTTATGGCTTATAAACCCTATGTGGGTTATTTAAAACTAGAACATATTTCAGCTTCTAGGAGGTTGCTTACAATACCTGATGTTGCCAAACAGCCCCTCATATAACTACATCAAATTTTAAGAACATGTCAAAACTAAGAATTTCCATAATACAAGAGCAGAGCATTAAAACACTTGTATACTGTGTGATAAAAGATTTTACATAACTGCCAAATATTCTAACAATCTAAATTTGTTTCATTTCTTTGATTTAAGTACAAACATGAGCCTTGCTAACCTATCTTCAGAATAGTCTTAAATCTTTTCACAGTCAGTCTTATGGTTTACTTGTGGTATATACAATTGTTTATGGCAGATTTTAGAATAAAAAATGTTGATTTTTGAACCAAAGTGTTTTCAAAGGATCAAATGACAATAAACCTTACATTGAAAATTTTAAGATTTCTATAATTTCTCCAAGCATTATGCTATAGGTTTTGTTTCTTTACTAACATATACTTAAATTGGTAATTAAATATGATTTCAGGTAGTTCTCTCATTGGGGCATTCCTAAATATCCCCAGAGGCTTTCTTCTATAACCTATTCGATTTATGTCATATTCTTTCACACTAAATTTAGATGAGTTAAGATGTGAAGTGGGCTAATATTACGTGAGATGCTAAAACCACTGGTGAGAATCTTTCTCTGTGTGTGTGTGAGTGTCTAAAAATTTAGATATAAATGAATATTAATAAAAAGAAATAAGAGGAAAACTGATTTATGCAAAAAATTTTGTTCTTTGAGGAGCTTCATCAAAGGCATTTTCTTTTGATAAAGTTGGTCAAAAAATAAAACATTGCAAAAATAACTTTTCCTCTTTTGTTATTATATAATTGTCCAGTAAATAAACTTTCAGTTGAAAATATTGTAAGGGGTAAAGATATTAGTTGAAAATGTGGTAACATCAGGGCTTTTGTTTTATGAGTAATGAGAGATAAAGACTTTTATAAATTCTTAAAGAGTTAATCCCCCCCCAAATGGCTTTCTAATTTCAACTATATGGAAATAGTTCTTTATAATCGAGGAGATTACTTTTATATATATATATATAGGGGAAATTGTATGATAAAGTGGAATAAATGTATTTGTGATGTGGTGCGTCCTTCATCAGACTAAATTTTGTTATGTCGACTACACAATAAAATATTTTGATAACCTTCTCAGTTTCAATGCAAAGATAAACATACTAAATTTTAAGACTAATATATGTCACATCCCTAGTAAGTAACCCTAAAAGAATTATGACTTTATATCTTAAAGCACTTGCTATGGAGACTGAAATAAAATTAAAAAAAAAAAAACAATGTGTTAGTTACGGAAATTATAAATATATTAAAATAGAGAAATTACTTTCAAAGGTGACTATTTCTGTATATTAATAAATTAAACAATGGTTAAGTCACAGAACTTGTTTTCTACAGTGTTCAAGCTTTCTACTGCATGCATTAAAATGAAAATAACTATATTATATAGGCACACAAATACATAACGATTTCTTATGAATGTGTCAGCTGCAGATATTCATAGGCATATAATTCTTGAGGTAAGCAAAATATACAAGTGCATACATGTGATACTAAATATATATGTTAGCATGATTTAGAAAGTAGTAAAAAGTTTCAGTTATGTATCTATATTTCCAAACTGCAAATTATGAAACTAATTAGTCTTTATCTACAGGTTTAGTGCACATACATGTACCAAAGTTTAATTCTGTGATTCTGTGAAGTGAGTATGCTTAAAAGATTATTCGTGTTTTAGGATCATCAAAATTAAAATTAAGGACATTTTTCCTTTATTCAAAAATACCTGGCCGTTGCTAAGATGAGAGTTCATTTTACAATGTAATAATTCTATTCAGATGTTATTTCTTTAATTTGTGAAAAAGATTTACTTGAAAAAAAGAAAAAAGATGTCAGTTTATAGAAAAAATTAATAGTAATTTATTTTTATGTTTAGAAATTACACTGAACAAAATGTAATTGTAAATAATACAAGTTCAACCTAATAAAAAAATCTTGAATGTGTCTAAGCATATGTGAATGCATAAAAGAAAACCAGTTTGGACTGATAAAAACAGAAAAATTAAGGGCAAAACTTCTCAAAAAGAGAAAATATCTAGATAAAAGCTTGTGAAAATAACATTGGAGGGGAGCAATTTAATTATTCAGCACTACTTAAATAGACGGGTCCCCTCAAATAACAAGGGAAAATGTTTTTTTTGGGGGGTGGGGGTAATAATGTTTGTTGATTAGCATTCTAACCTTCCTTTGGTGATGACATGTGTCAGAATCAAAAGAAATTGATTTGTTATCATTTTTTTTTGTAATATCAATACACTGTCAAATCTATTCCTGACTTTTACAGAGTTATTGGCCTTTGGCTAAGTCACTAAGCTATTATTTACAAAAGTCATGTTTGAAAATGTGCTAACATCATTGATATCTGCATATTTTTTACATTTTTTTGAATATTTAAACATTTTTAAATATTTTTTTTAAAACATTTTATTAATTCATGGAAATTTTTGTTCTTTAATTAAACATGTATATCTCTGTTTTGTTTGTTATTTAAAAGAAATCTTTTTGGAACTCCAAAAAAGTCTTTTTTTGTCAGCAACAGGGCTGTGGAGTTAGAAGCAATTAAGGGGTCACTGGGGTCAGAGTCAGTATAGTTTTACTGACTCTGATTCCAGTTGAATTTACATTTTATGTAAAAAGTCTTACGTTATAGAATTTTTATTTCTATTTCTTCTATTGTATATTTACTATTTCCTTTAAAGAAATTTATTTCAACTTCTTTTTTAAAGTCATTTTATTTTTTTTGCAGTGATTTTATATTTGCAAAACTATATATGTAAAAAATAAATCTTAAATTATAGAATTTTTATTTTTGTTATGTCCTGTAAAAGATTATATTTAAACTTCAGTTATAAAGTAGTTTTATTTTTGTTTTGTACTTATTTGTTATTTGCAAAGGTATATATATATATATATATATACACCTTTGCAAATATATATATATATATATAGATACACCTAGTGAGCCAGACAAATCTACCTAGGTTTCACCTAAACGGATCGTCAGGAAAAGTTTGTTAGTTAGTTGTTACTTGTATCGGGGTTTTTTCTTTGGGCTTCAGACCTGCATCTGTGCGATTTTTTTGTCGGCAGAAGTTCATGTTTGTAGCTCTTTCTTTTTTTAAAACCTTTTTTTCCCTCGAGATTGATTTGATTAGCAAATCAAAAATTCGAGGGTTTTTCGAAACGAGTCTAGTTATCTATATATATATATATACCTTTGCAAATATATACATATATATATATATATGTATGTATGTGTGTGTGTGTGTGAAAAAGTCTTATACCATTTTTATTTCTTCTATATCCTTTCAAAGATTTTGTCTCTAATTCTGTTAGAAAATATTGAAGAATGAATAGGTATGATATAAAAGACATAATATCTTTATTCTTTGATATAAGCCAATTATAATGATATAGGCCTACTCAAGTTAGGAGCATATTCATAGGCTTTATAAGATTTGTAGGCCATAATCACTTAATTACATAAAGAGGAGTCGGAGGTGGCAAAAATAGAGAAGTCAGAGTCGAAGGTTTTGTGTTCTGACTCCACAATGCTGGTTAGCAAAAATGCTAATGCCAATAACTCTTCAAAGTCAGGGATTGATTTGATACTGTATTGCTTTTATAAACAGGACCCCTACCTTCTAAATCAATAACAAATCAATGTTTTTTGATTTTGAATAGTGTTATGGCCTAAGGAAGGTCCAAACAATACTAACCTACAAAAATTATTTACCTGCAAATTTGTCATTTTTTTAATTTTTTTTTTTTTTTTTTAAATAAATGGACCAGTGTATTTAAGTAGTGCCTAATTATTCTTGTATGTTTGTGTGCACGCGCATTATGTATTGGAGAAGCATATATGTGGTAGTGTACCAAAAACTTGAACAGTGTCAATAAGTGTCTAAAAAAAAAAAAAAAAAAAACCCGGGTTAGCCAAAGGTGTGCTCAAAAGGCAAAGTAAGAACACATCGGTTAATGGGTTAAGGAGGAGGAGAAGGAGGACAAAGAGCAGCCATTTATGACATCATAAGACATCAGAACCTCAGCAGAAACTGTACCTGTCGATCGTACTCCCACCCGCCCACAGATTTTTGGCAGGGTGTCAAAACCACTTTGTTTCGCCGCAGGTACACGTGGAGGTTAAGGTAGAGACATAGGTTCTCATCTAGCATTAGCTGCTTCCCCTTTGTATAGGCAAACACCTACAATTGACGAGCCACAAGATGGTTGTTGAAGATGGCAAGGAGGAGGAAGATGCCATAGCATGCAACAAACAGAATGGACATCTGTTACAAAAAGAACTATTCAACAAATAAAAAAAAAAAAAAAAGAAAAAAAAAAAAAAATCAAAGAAAAAAATAGAGAGAGAGAGAGAGACAAAAAATACAAAATGAAAACAACCAGTCACGCAAATCTACAAGAAGACAAGAGCCAGTTTCCTTTTAATGCCAGCAGAAAGTACAACGAAACCTGAAAAGAAGAAATAAACTTGGGGGACTAATAGTTATATTTGAGAGAGAAAGGAAGAGGAATAAAGAGAAAGAGAGAGAATAAAATAAAATAAAAATAACAAAAAAAAAAAAAACAAAAAAAAAACATGTATAATAAACAAAATATTAATCATACAAAGAGACAATTCAGACACCAGTGTAAGGCAACAAATATCTGTGAAGTCAATGTAAAGATACATGAATCCTGAACTTGTTTTTGAGTAATATATCTAGATTGAAAATTTTTTTTTTTAATTTAAAAACAGAAAGCAAGTTCTTTCATTCTTCTTACTTGATTTAGGAATTTTACAGGCTAGTTAGATAAACGGCTTTCAGGACTGTTCTGTAACTGAAAGATTTCATGAATTATAATAGAATTTAACTACAAAATAAAGACTTGGTTGGTTGTTTTTGTTTAGATGCATGTCAACCCCTATGTGTTATTTAATGCTGAAATCCAAATATTTTGTATGCAATTTTTTGGGGGAGGATAATGTTTTTAGTGATACAAGTCTTACTAATTAACCCATAGCCGGGGGTACAAGATGTGGATTCATATCTATCCCAGAGATATTTGTACATAAGTGAATATAACGAATAAAACTGAAATTGGAACACAGCTATCTGATTAACATATTCTGTCTGAGCCATTATCCGTTACATTGCCCATATATCCAAGCTTACAGCACCTGGTATCCCTAAGCGGTCACCCCTCTAAGTACTGACCAGGCTCAATGTTGCTTAACTTTGGTGATCGTACAGGAACTAATGTTTCAATGTGATGTGGCCGTAAGCCAAAAGAAAGAATGTCTTTTGAGTAGAACTATTTAGAAAGTCTTTCCCATCTGGCTCATATATTTGTAATTTTACTTGCACAGATTGCATTTTGTAAAATGACACTGTAGCACAGACTAGCAAATTTGAACACTTAAGTAAAAACATCAATGCCAAAAACATTCTTTATATCTATGTCAACTCGATCCAAAATAGCAAGTCAGCGCTTTTAGAAAGTTTTGATTCATTGATTAGTTTTTTATGGCTTATCCTTTATGGGTTATTAAAAATGGAAAGATTTTTGGGATTGTTAGAATTTTTTTTCTTGTGAGTAAATATTGCATTAACAATTTTTTGAGTATAACAATGATTTTTCTAGATACCAGTCTTACTATTTAACCCATAGCTGGGAAGGGGAAATAAATTCATAACTTTCCCAAGGATATTTGTGTGTAAGTGAATGTAATAAAACTAATTCAAACTCTGCTTTCCAATTGGTTTTATAAAGAATGTTTTAGAATGTAGTCAAAGGAACAAAGGTAAAAGAAACATCTTAATTTTAAATAATTGTAGCAAACATTAGTTTGAATTTTGCTTAAAGTTTTAGAACAAGATGACAAATCTATGATGATTGATGGTAACACAGAAAACAAGAAAAATTTCAAATTGCTTTTTACAACAGGACAAAATGAAACTTCTTTTTGTTAAATGTAAAACTAAGAAGTATACACAGATTTAAGACTACGCTTTTTACAGATTTCAAAATTTTTAGCTTCTTTTCATGCTTCTTACAAAAGAAAAAAGAAACTATTTTGATTTTTTTTAACATTTAAAATGGTGCTTCACATTGAATAATTTATGGATAAATAATTAATTTCCAATTATATTTATATCAGGCATCCGCCTAAGATTCTCTTATTAGCAAAAAAGATCAGGAATTCTGCCAAATTTAAAAGCAATATCTTCTGTGAAGAATATGATTCCAAATATTTACCGGAACTTTTAGGGGAAAATAATTTAAGCTGTAATTCTGGTCAACATTTGTTGTCCTTGTGTCTGGCAAGAAAATTATCTCAAAAATACACAAAAACTACAAATTAATGATGTGAAACGGACTTGTCGGTGGTAAATCTGCAGGAGATCTTTTGCCTGAGGAAACTCCTACCTCTTTGTCATATTCCCAGACCTGGTTCCCGCCCAGACCATGGCACGCAAATAATTTTACAGGGCCACCAACAGCTGAAACATCTAGACACACATCATCTGTTTGCAGTGCTTGCTTTTTTGTATAGGAAAAAACCTGAAATCAACAAAGCAAGGTAAATAAAATTGAAAAGACAAAGACGTGGCACAGTTTGAGAGTGCAGAAGAAAAAGAGGAGGAGTGAAAAGCAGCAGGAAAACATAAAATCGGGCAAACATGGAAAACCTTGAATTATACTGAAATAAAAATGTATTTTATTAGTACAAACTTAAAAAAAAGTAAATTAAAAATTAAACAGAAAATTCTTAGTCTATTAATTCTAAATTAACTTGAAAGAAATAATTTTTGCTAAGATTTCCACTGAAATAGTAAACAATTTTGTATACCCTAAAATGTTTTATGTTTTATAATTTTCTAAGAACATTTCTCATTGGTATAATGTCTTTGATCATTTAACAATTCAAGTTTTTATAAATATGTTCTTAAAGCTTTACATATTAGCGCAAAGGTTTTAACTTCATTTTAATTATGCTAACATGACAAACAATAAAACCTATTGCCTAAGAAGTTTTGTTTCTGTCAGGACAAAGCAACTATATATTGAAGTAAATAAAAATAGAAAAACATTATTTAAAGTAATTAATAGTTTTTATTTATATCTTCTAATTCTAAGGAATTTCAATGAAAAGGAAGAGAGAAATACACTGCTATACTTATTATTCTAGAAATGAGTAGTTAATAACTTTTAATTATTCAACATTTTTATTTAATATGGAAGATATGTTAGAAATAAAATCAACAATTAAATTGAAACAAATCATAATAAATGATTAGTATCAAGTCATTTTATTTTTATAGGCTTATATTTTATTACTTAAGCATTTTTAAAAAAATTTTTTTTAGTGGATACCCATAATTGAGTAGACACTTTGTTTACTTATTAAACAGTATATTTATTTATTTTCATCTACTGGCCTGAATATTTGGGAAAAAAAATATAAAAATAACGTTTAAGTAATAGAATCTGTCGGATAACTAAGTAAAAAATCCATTAATTCTATAGAAATGTCCTTTTTTTTCAATATTCTATTTCATTATTAAAGAATCTAGAACAGTTATTAATATAAATATTTATTTCCCATTTTTATCATTTCCTTGAGTGATGTACTTAAATTGTTTACGTTGTCTTTTTTTTCTTTTTTTTTTTTTTTTTTAAATGGAAATTTACTCATGTAAAGGTAATGGACACTTTCAATATTATTAGTAGTGTTGAGTTTTTAAAATAAAGTTGCCTCCCTTGATTGAGATTTTTTCATCTAAGAAAATAAAAAAAAAAAACATAATGATCCTTTTCACAAAGTCATCTCCTGAAGACATTTTTGTGCTTCATTTTCTGTTTTCTTGAGAACATTTTTGGATAAAATGATTTTTATCAGCCAAAAATTTATTGACACAATATTGCTGCAAAAAAGATTACATCAATAATTCATTAAAAATATATCAAAAACTAAAATTACAAGGAATTACAAGGGATAAATAAATAAATACCCACACATGAAGAAAATTAATGACAAAGTGAGAATTTTTTTTTTTTTATGTGATGCATTTTGTCCTTTAAGATTTTATAGGTCTCAGTTGATGTTTCTGTTGATGTAACTACACATGCACATGAAGGGGTAGGTTAATATAAAAATGCAAATGTTAGTTAAAATTATGCACATAGAGGAAACGCAGAAAATCTTCCGATGCTGAAATTTAAAATTTTAAAATTTAATTTTTTTTTTATAGATGTGTTTGCGTACATAGATTATGTTTTTATCACGTTCATTATTAAATATTCCATATTATGATAATAAAAGATCTGCCAGCGTGAAAGCTTGTAAAAACCAGGGCACAAATTAGCGATTAAAGCACTTTCTATATACATTTGTCTTAGTAAATTGCTTTCACTTTCAATTAAAGTAGCATTGTTTAAATTGAGATTATTGTCAGACTCATTACGATGAACAACTAATACAGTATTTCGTAAAAATCCTTTTTATTTAAATTCCTTGAGGTTTTGCCTGTGTATTACTTGTGGCAATTATTACTGGTAATAGAGTAAACTCCTCCTTCAAGTCTTAGCTTATTATTATTTCAGTATTCTAAGATTTCTAAGTGTTTCCTATCTGTGCAAAAGTTTAACCAACGATTGCATTTTTATATTCTCCTTCATGCGCATGTGTAGTTACATCAACAGAAGGATGAAACGCATCACACAAAAATTCTTTTTTCCCTTTTGTCAAACATTTTCCTAACATTATTCTGGTATATAAAAATTTACAGGTCATCATCTCTCTCTCATATATATATATATATATATATGGGGGGGGATAAATAATGTACAAAAAACACAGTAATTTGCTTTTTAAAATTGTTTCTCCTGAATTTATAAGTGAAAACAGTACTACTTAATAAATTTAATACTAGATAAGGCTAGATTTAGAAGATTGTATTATATCAATAATCCAAGTAGAGAAAACCTTCCTCCACTTCCCACAAAAAATATAATAAAATAAAAAAAAAATAAATAAAAAATCAGTAGCAGCAGCATTTGAAATCCTGTTTTTTTTTTCAATCTGGACTCAAATATCTGGTACTGATAAAAAGTATATCTATGCCACAAGGTTGGCTATGCAAAAGAAAATGTGTAAATATTTAGAGAAATAACTGACTAGTATTAAAAGAAAGACAATAAATCTATTTTGATTATATGATTTAAATTCTCAAGAATAAAAAGAAATTGCATTTAAAATTTTATGTATTTCTAAACCAGCAAAAATAAATATCTGTAAACATTTCAAATAATAATGATAGAAGTAGTCAGATGTAAAATTAAGAAAAAAATATACAAACCTTGAAGATTTAAGAGCAAAATTTAGCAATGATTATTTTTATTCATAGATTTTTATCATTTTTAACTTAAGAAAAGTATTTTCTGCTTTATTCTCCATAAAAAAAAAAGAGAAATATTTCCTAAATTGTTATATACACAATATTCTTTCAAATCATTTTAGAAAACAACTTTTCCTTAAATTTGAGATGTGGAGAGAGTACAAAGGATTAAAGCAAGCGATATGATCCTGATAAAAAGATTAATCAGTTTTAGAAAATATTATAAAATAAATTTCTTGACAACTTCAGAATTCTTAATGTAATAGATTTATTGCTAATTTCTAGTAGTTTCTGTTAAAAAAAATCCTTCACATAATATATAATTGCAATTATTTATATAATTATACTAATGTAATAATACATTATATCTATATAATTACAATTATAGATATATATATAATTAATGTAATACTATGTAAATTATATCTTATATAAATACATTTTTATATATATATATATATATATATATATATATATATAATTAATGTAATACTATATAAATTATATCTTATATATATATATATATATATATATATATATATATATATGATAGAGATTAAGGAGGATTTGAGATAATTAAGTAATTCATCAAGTCTAGAAAAAATCTCAACAGAATACAGAAAGCACTGGAGGCCGTTTTGTACTATATTTGGGACTCATCAGCAGTGCGCATCCACTACTGAGAATTGAAACCGAGACAGTTACATTGACAGGCAAACATTATACTAACTGTACTAACGGGCCTCGGTGATGAAGAGGTAGTGAACTAGACACGATATTGCGCTGCACATTCACAAATTTTGTGGTGGAACTCATCCAAGTTTCCTTTGCCTATATATATATATATATATATATATATATATATATATATATATATATATATATATATATATATATATATGTATATATTATTGTCAACTGCACAGTATAGTACATGATAACTTAATGTCTTTCTTTCCCCTACTCTCTATATGAAATCCCTATTCTTAATTTTTAAACCTTGAGCAAATTTTTCCATCTACATTTGGTTTACGGGTCTGAAGATTTGAAGCCATGTTTTATTGGCTTCAATGAAATAAAATATATTATTTATTGTTTTTTAAGTGTTTTTTTTCCATTTTATTTAGATTTATATATATATATATATATATATATATATATATATACACAAAAAAAAATTTAACAATATATAATTATATATATATTTATATATATATAATTATACTTTTTCTGTTAGTATTTTAATACTAACAAAAAAGTATAATTATAAAATATAAGTTAACATATTTAAGCTTGATTTTATCACATTTCAGAAAGTAAATATTGGGTAACATATAAATGTTTTTTCAGTTTATTAAAACAAAATAAGATTTTTTTTTAACAATAACTTTATTGAACAATATATTTACCATCTTTCAGGCAATATCATAATTCTATTCATCTAGAATTCTTCCTGTTCTTTTATTGTTATCTCTCCTTATTAATATTTTCTTCTTCTCATTCTCTCTCACTCAATAACCCCCTTCTGTCTTAGTGGCTTTATTACCTAGCTTGGGGTGAAATGATTAAAAAAAAATATATTTTTCTCATTAAAGAACTATTCAAAGTGACATTTTGCAGTCTTCCAATGGTTTGAATTAATTTTTCATTCAGAGAATTCTGGAGATGACTATAATAAATGGTAATCCAAAGGTACAACATCTGGTGAATAAGGCAAATGAGCGTAAACTTCACAACTGGCAATTTTTGCCTGGTTACCAAAGAAGCTTCATTCAACAAGTAATCTTCAGCAGGAAATTTCAAAAACCACTTTTGATACATTCAATCATTTGCAGAACCTTCTGTATAAATTGCACAAATCTCTTCTCTTTTGTATTTGAATCACTTTTTTATTTTCTTTAAAATAAATAAAGAATATAGTCACAAAATGCTGCTTATTTTCGTCCATAAAAAATATTCTAGTTTTGATAATTTTTTCTTTTTTAATGCACACTAATATGACAAAAGTACCAATAAAATCAAAACTGACCATTCCACTGATTGATGTTAGTGAAAACTAAATACTCTTAATACTGTCTAACAACAAACAATAATTATTGACTGATTTTATCATTGTGATATTTTTGCATTATATCAAGTATTAAGAATATAGTAACTAGGGCCTGCAAATTGGAGGAGAGAGTTATCAATTATAATGTTCTGCAGTTATCTCCCTTTAAACTTCTGTTTTTTATTCTTAAATGTACTTTTTATCACAAAATTTGGTGAGGCGTGAGCAAATTTTCATTCCAAAAATGTGGCCAAGAGAAAAAATGTTTGGGAGCCACTGTTTTAGAACAACTTCAGAGACAAACCTTTTTTTTTTAATTTAATGAGTGGCTATTTGCAGTAATGTGAAGTATTAAAATAGGCACCTTCTTAAAACTATAGTCTAATTATAATAGTTATAATTACATGTCACTAATCAAAGTAAATATGAATGTTGAGCTTTACTCGGGTTTGTGAATTCTTGCAAAATATTGGCATGAGTTTAATCCATTTATCAGCTGGGATAGGAATTTAAACTCAAAGAATTTAATCTTATTTCCCAACCTATATTTCTATATAAAGAAAGTGAGAGATAAACTTCAAATACTTTTAAATAAACTTGATTTTTACCCCACATGGAGCAGAGATAATAATTCTAAAAATACTTCTTAGAGCGAGAAAATATGACTTAAGCCTATTTTACAATTTAGAAACATTTTCTTAGATGGAATAGCTAAAACTTTTGGCAAGAATAATTGCCAATTAATACTTGTTTATGAAATGCATTGTCAAGTGGAATGTTAGAATAAGGATGATTGGAATTTTGATCTTTGTTATACAATCATGGAAATTCTTTTTTTAACAAACAAATGTTATTGTTTTATTTCAGATTATAAATATATCACAATTACAAGTGATCTTAGTCTTTTTGTCCCACTTCCTCCAAAACCTAATGTTAGATAAAAATCAAGAAATTAAAATCAAAGAAATGCTAAAGTGTACAAATCTGCTGATATTTAACAAAAGTGAAATTCTGATTTTTACTCAAATCACATTAAATTCAATTGTTAGAAATCACATTAAAATCAATTGTTAGAAATTTCTATATTCATAATCTACTTTTCTTATAAACAAAATGTTTGTGGACAATTTACAAATTTTAACGTAGCCATGAAATTTGCCCACTGTGAAGAAAATATACAAAATTTATCATTTGAATTATTATATGAATAATTATTTCTCTAATATGTAAAAAAGCTTAAATTACAAATAAAACATCTTTAATAACAATGTCATTTAAATGTACAGGGTGTGGCAAAAACAACACACTTTTTTTATATTTATTAACTTTTATTGAATAAAATTAAATTACAGTAATTTTAGAAAAAATCTCTCTCTCTCTCTATATATATATATATATATATATATATATATATATATATATATATATATATATATATTTCACTGTTGGTGGATTCAAACTGACATGACCTCAAAGTTTATCTGATGATTTTTAATAAAAAGGATTCTTTATAGTACATTTTATGACTTATTCTAGTAAGACTACTGTAAACTGACTAAGAAGGTGATTGTGGCCTCTTGAACTGTACAGGATGTCCATCAAGTAGAGATCCAATAATTTTCTTTTGTTTGATAATCAGCCAAGCACTTACAAAAGGGTGTGGACAGAATTTAAAAAAAAAAAAATATAACATGATTTGTTATGATTAACAAACTATTTAACATGTTAAAAAATGCTTCCTTTCATGTTCAATGCAGCACAGAACACTAAAACAAAAACCTCTACAAACCATTTGACACAATTATTTGTTTTAACTCAGGAATTCTTTTCAGTTTGTGCCTGTAAACAACATCTTCCAGTACACCCCACAAGAAAACGTTTGGTGGTTTTAGGTATGGTGATCATAATGGCCAAACAATTGCTCCTCATCGTCCTATCACTCTTAGCTCAAAGTTAAGAGCTAACCATTCATGAACACAAAAACCAAAGTTAATTTTAAGCCATATCAAACTTATTTTTGTTCAATAAAAGTTAATAAATAAAAAAGGGCATTACTTTTGCCACACCCTGTATATTATGAAAGATTTGATGAAACAAGATTTTGCAGTGATTATATATAATTTATAAAATTATGGAATTGTAGATAATAAGTACACTTTGTTTCACTTGAGAAAAGAAAGAAAGAAATCTTGCTGACCTGATTGCCTCCAAAACCATGGCATGCCACCATGCCGACCTTCTCACCACTTTTACGACCCATACTGTCCAAACACAATCCAGTCACTTTATTTCGAATCTGAAAGAAATCATAAACCAGAACCAGGATTAGTTTCATGAATTTCATCTTGCAAAAAACTTTTGGCGAGGGAAAAATTCCTTTTCTTTTAGGTGCATTGTCCCTTCAGAACTGTCCCTTGGAGGTCTAAGAAACATTTGACTTTTTATCATCCCTCTCTGTCCCAACTTTGCCATTCATTAACTCATTAAGTAGCTGATCTTGGCTCTCCACAACTTCCTGTTCATTGTAGCACTAAGCAACATTCAACTTTCCCCTGTTCTGACATTCATTCACATAAATTTGTTAGGTTGGCTATTTGCTGTTTCACTCTACTCCTCCTTCCTTTAGTATGATCTGTGAGTATTAAATTTTCCAAGCCTTTTTCCACAATGTCTCACTAATTTAAACTGTCTCTTCCTGATTTTAAGTATAACAGTCCTTCTACTTCACATTTCTTTTTAAAATTCCTTATTGTTAACATGTCCATAGTATTCTCAGCATCCTTGTGTAGAACCACATCTGTTACTTCAAGTCTCTTCTTCATCTCTAAGATTGTCCAGCATTCACTGCTATAAAGGAGGATTGATATGATACTTTGGTCTTTCCTCTTAATAATAACAAACATTTTGATGATAAAACTTTGTTTTTATTAAGTTTAGGACCTTTTTTTCATCATGGTATGCTGTTTTTTCAGCAAACTATTGGAGGTACCTAGGGTAAATAAACACTATAATAAATAAACAATAATAGTGTTTATTATTTTTTATGTAAGTTTTCAAAAACAAAGAAAATGAATAAATTAACTTTCATATGTTCATTTTTTTTTTTTAATAAAATTCTAATCATCACTATTTATACTGACTAAGAAGGTGATTGTGGCCTCTTGAACTGTACAGGATGTCCATCAAGTAAAGATCCAATAATTTTCTTTTGTTTGATAATCAGCCAAGCACTTAAAAAAGGGTGTAGACAGAATTAAAAAAAAAAAATTTTTGAAAATAAAATAAAATTAAAAAAAATCAAATGTCTCTGAGTCAGTTAAGCAGTGGTCAGCAAGCAAAATTCTGAGGCATCTCAGTTTGGGCCACTGGTTCAGTGAGTGGTCACTTAAAAAAAAAAAAAAAAACCCAAAAAGCAAAAAAAAAACCCCAAAAAGCAAAAAAAAAACCCAAAGTGGCCAAGAAATAACTTGGACTGCCAACTATTTTTCAATTTGTCAACTCAGCATCTATATAATCCATGGACTGTTGTTTTGCTGATCTGAATTAATGCAGATACAACTTTCCCTTTTCTTATTTTTTTAAATTTGTTTCAAATTAAATGAATATATTGGCCAGTATTTTGTAACAGATTTCATTCCTTATGAAGCTTACTATCAAAGATTCATCTTGGAAGACGAAAATCTATTTCAAACTGGAGAAAGTAAGGTTTTATTCAGAATTGTTGATATTATACAGTGTGCGATGAATAAACTGTCATCTAAATTACACAAAAATGAAAATAACACTGACATCACATTTTACCAAAATTACACAAAAATATCTTGAAATACTAAAAAGCAAATTTTTTCAATAAAATCAGCACTGGCTTCAACCACAACCTCCAGATGACTTCAGAATCTCCTACTACTCTTCTGGACAGTCTCATTGTTTAAGTTCGTGAATGCTGCTGTAATCCTTGCCTTCAGTTCATCTTTAGAGTCATAAGGAGTTTATTTGGTCTCTCGTTCAACTACACCCTACACATAATAATCAAGGAGGTTGTAGTCTGAGGAGTTGGGTGGCCAGTTGTAAGGAGTGATGTGGTTGCAAAAATTGTCTGACAGCCAAGACTTGATTCTCCTGCTTGTGTTGCATGGTGCAGTGTCCTGTTGCTAGACATAGGGTGTTCCAGCAGCCACCCTCTTGTCCCAGAGCACCTACCCCCTCAATACACTTGATGCAGGCCTCCATGGTGAGTTTGATGCGACAATTTACCCATCGCACGCTGTATTTCATTCCATAAGCATAGATGTAGTTATTATTTTAAAGACTAGAATTTGTAAGTATGCACAAATATACATATGTATATATATATATATATATATATATATATGTGTGTGAGAGAGAGAGAGATTTGGCTGAATAATCTAGACATTATGTCTATTCATTTTTATTTTAATCCTCTCAAATTCACAAATCAATTTCTTAGTGTTGTTACAAAACTGAGTAAGGAAGGTGCCGTAGTTTTGGTTATTTCTTTTATTTTTCCAAGTACTTTCAATATCATCTAAAATCATCTTTTGGAGTTAATTGCTAAGACAAAAAATTTGGGAATGAAGATATGCTGCACACACACACACATATATATATATATATATATATATATATATATATCCCCGGGCAGCAAACTTTCTTTCAAACATTTCGTTGAATATGACAGACAAGAGGAATTTATTATTTAGTTTTTCTAACATTTTTCTGTTTGGTGGGAGGTAGGGAGCGAAAAAAAGTGCTTTCAGGCCACTTCTTTAGCCACATTCAAAGGGTTTGTTGTTGAAGTGTTAATTTCTTTGTGATGTAGCTTTTGTCATGCCTAAATAATAGAAGCATTTATTTTGAGCCATGCAAAATGAACATGGCTGGAATTCAAGTTGGCTTCTATTCTATTATATTTTATATATATATATATATATATATATATATAAAAAATGAACTTTACCATCGTCTTTGATGTATGAGGGTTCACCAACAGTTTAAGCTCCTAGAACTAAAGAGCTAGACCTACTCACACATATGATTCAATTATAGTGAATTATAAAGCATCTACATGTTTTTGGAAGAACTAAATACAAAGAAATGGTATACACAGTGTGACACAAAGTTCCAAAACAACTCTTTAAATTTTTAATTTAGTGTTGCCCTTCTACTAGACTGGTTGCCAAACAAGGCTTTCAAACCAGTCTGTTCTACTATTTAACCTATAACTGGGGAGAAGAGATGGATTCATACCTTTCCCTAGGGTATTTGTGCAAAAGCAAATGTAATGAACTTAACTGGAATTTGAACTCTGCTTGCCCATTTCTTGTTCAGATATTTTTTTCCCTTTATTAGAAACACAAGTTAATTTATTTGAAATGACAATTTAAAAAAATATTGGATTGTTTATTTCTAGAATGAATTTTAACATACTATATACACACAGTTTATCCATAAAAAAATAATCGAAGCAAAATAAGTAGTTAGTTTCTTTTACTTATGTATTTTAGCTTTCAGCAATATCAAGAGGTGATAATAGAGAAAATGTTGAAATGCTGGTTCAATCCAATTTCACTTCAGTGAAAACTTGCATTTCTGATTTGCAATTATATCAGATTACTTACAAATCTTATACAAAAGTGTTTCAACTTGAAAGAATAAAAAATTCAGCTTATATATTTTGTCATATTATTTTACAATGTAATATTTAACAGTACAGAATTAGAGAACGACCTTGTTTTATAGGACTAATTAAAAGATCCTAAATTGAAATGATAAGAAGGGTCAATATTTTGCTTTAAAATATGTTAAATAAGTAAAAAACCTGTGATGACGATTTTAAACTTTATCAGAACTATCTTTTGTATAAAGTGCAAAGACATAAGAGAGTTAACTTACTTCACCAACAGAATAATAATCAAGTGGCATCTGGGATTCTGGGTAAATATTTTCAAGATACCAACGGAATGATTTGCAGTTATGCTTCTTGCGAAATTCCAAGCGTTCAGATACATCACCATAATCAGCTGATTTCACACCTGAAAAACAAGAGAGGAAATTAGTTGATGGGAAACATTTTGTTTGCAATGGGGCAGTATTCATAATTAATATTTTGTAAAAATCAAAAAGAAATTGCTATTCTTAATTTGCCCCCCACCCCACCAAATATCTTAAAATGAAGTGAAATATAAAGTCTTTAAACAAATTTGACACATATTACCACTGACCTTTGAGAATAGACAAAAATCAGTGGGGTTTCATTTATGCTTTTATGTTACATATATTTGATTTACATCACTCAGAGTTCCTCAAACCTAGATCGATTATATATCATTCAATATGAAAGCACATAAAAAGTGCTGGCTTGAAGGCATTATAAAACAACCCACAAAAAAAAACAATTTTAAATTCTAATTACAGATAACTGCAATCATTTTGTGTTTTTTTAAAAATCTTCAAGAATGATATGAACTCAAGACTTTTTTTTAGTTCATTACCAATTGTATTACTGAATTGATTGTACAGCAAAATTAAAAAATGGGGAAATTAACTCCTCATTCTATGTAAGCATACATCCTCAATGAAGATAAGGTATAACTTAAAATTGACAAAACAAAAAACAATTACAATCAGATCTTCCAACAATTCTTAATTACACTCTTTAATTTGCAGATTTTTTTTCTCTTCTTTTATTAGAATAAAATTTAACTAAATAAGTTTAACTGATATTATGGGCAGAGTTTAAGAAATATACTAGCAACAAAAATGGTGTGTCAAAATATATACTTTTTTTTTCTTGACACCACTATTACTATTTCAATAATTTTTATTGTTTTAAAAGCTATTTTTAGAATTTTATTAATACCCAAACATATGAATTTATGTGTCAAAAATAAATGGAAGAAATGCTAAGAAAATGCATTTTTTCAAAATTTATTATTAGTTACGTGTTTATTTAAATATTCTCATTCACAAACATTTTTTATAAATTTATGAATAAAAAAAAATTTTTTTTCATAGTTATTTCTTTATAATATGGTAAATGATAAATATTGAATTAGAGTTGGTTCATATATTTTAATAAACTTGTAAATATAAATTCATTCTTGTAAATAAACAATCTAATAAAATAAATAGTGTTTAATCCATTTATTGTTAATTCTCAAAAAGAGAATGTATAAATTCAAAAATTTCTGAGGGCGTATACAATGTCAAAGAGAAACCTGTCCTTTTTGACACACACACACACACACTTGTTTTGTGGGTACATAGGTAAAACTTTGCAAGATGATGTGTATAGAAATAATTTTACTTCAAGCAACATCAGGAGATCTTTGTAGGACATATATATGTTCACCCTCCACATGTGGAGATGATCTTGATTTTGAATCAATGGTGGTTGGGGTGGGTACAGAGATGACTGATCTTCAGCCTGAAAAGTCTGTTGCAGTTGTGACATAAGATGCTGGGTTCTGAACCAGCCCAGGAGGCAGAGCCCTCTCAATCTTGCCTTTTTTGCTGTCTATGTTCTTTGACCCTGATTCTTTTCTCTTCAAAATCAGACACCCCAGATTACAAGGGAGCACCAGATGGCACAGTCCTTAGCAGACTCTTCCCAGGTCGAATGGGGAATACAACAATGCTTGAGAGACTCCTTCAGCATGTTTTTGTAATGCATCTTTGGTCTGCCAAGTGAGCACTGTGGATAGCTTGCCACAGAGTATTCTCTTTGGGAGGTGACAATCATCCATGCAGCAGATGTGGCCAGCCCACTGAAGCTGATAGCGCAGTAGGATGGCACAGATGGGGCATACACATAGTTATAAATCTCTGTGCATAAATGAGTGCCACACACACATAATAAAAGTAAAGAAAGTTGAGATGATGGTTCAGTTGATATATTAAGAACTTGTCAGAATGAGATCTTGAGTTTGAACAACTCAACAAATTGGTTTTGACATTTATAAAATGTACACTAAATATATATACTGATTGAACATATATATATATATATATATATATATATATAAGGTGTATCAAAAATACCTTTACAAACTTTGGGGGCAGGTTCATGACATGAAAACAAGGTAAAATATCCATATAAACATATATTCAAAAAGCCATCATTGTATCTTAACATAGCAATTCATAACAAATGTTCAAAATGTCCTGTTTGCTTCCACACACACACACACACACACACACCCGTAGGATCATTGACTGGCAGACCTTTTAAAATACTACCACAAGGTGTTGAATGGTTTTGCAGATGCTCATGACATGTTCATGAATTGCCTCTGCATTATTAATGTCAGCTACATAAACTAATTGTTTTAGGTGACCCCAGATAAAAATCCAAAGGAGAGAGGTCAGTGTGAACATGCAGTCCATGGCCCGGTCCTCCTCTACCTATCCATCTGTCATGTGATTAAAATATGCTGGAGTCCTATCATGTATGTATCACCTGCATCTTCATATGAACAGAGGTATATCCTCTAGCATGTCTGGAAATGTGTTCGATATAAAATCCCTATAAACAGCTCCAGTAAGACATGCTGGGAGAACATACAGACCTACCAGACAGTCACTTACAATTCCAGCCCACATATTAATTATAAAGTGATGCTGGATTGTAGCATGGGGATTCCAATCTGCCCATTAAAGTTGGTTGTGTAAATTTGTCATTCGATCATTGGAATTCTCAGCAAGAGCCCCATACTTCTGGCCTTGTGCCAAACTGAACTAAGTGAATAATAGCAGTACATTAACATATTTCCAGTTCACACTCCTCTCTTGGTTTTTGAACAGGAGTAACAGTTTATCCCTTGTTTCCTGTTTAAGATCGGGTTTCCAGTCTCTTCTAAAGTCTTCTCATTCTCTTTCACTTCCTTTAGCCACTTGGGTTTTAGTGGCACTATTGCCTTGCATAGGATGAATTGATATATATATATATATATATATATATAAAAACCTCCTTCCTCCCCACTTTCTCCGACCAATCCTAATTGTTTTATTACCCCTTAAGCAGAAGAACATTTTCTCTGCAAATCCAAGAAGAATTTGGATTACTACTACACACAAAAGACAATGGTTAAACATGATAAAACATAAGGAAAAAATGAATTCCTTTAAATATATGGAAATAACCATTCTTTACCTGATGAGGGTCACAAGACCCAAAATGCATGTAGCAAAAAATATGGAAAGCTTCTCTCTTTAATATATATATATGTGTGTGTGTGTGTGTGTGTGTGTGTGTGTGCGCGCATGTGTCTTTAAGTGAAACTTCTGTCATAGATCCCTCCAAATTTTTCATATCTGCACAATTTTGTATCCAAACATGAAAAAAGAGAATTTTAGAATGGATTTTTTTATTTATTAATCCAACAAATTTTTATCACTTTAAGGGTTATTTTTAGTGGATACTTGTATATGAGTAAATGCTCCATTTGTTTATCGAGCAGTATATTTATTTTTTGTCTACTAGTCTGAATGTTCGAGAAATCTTGTTAAAGAAAAAATATCTACTAAAAATAATGTTTAAAGTGATAAAAACCTGTAGATATGAAAAATTTTGGGAGATCTATGACTAGAGAAGTTTTGCTTAAAAGGCACAAATTTGTCCTTGCCTGACTGACTGTTCTTCATAGCTCAGTTAGAGTATGCCAGGTCTATATATATATATATATACACACACACAAAAATGCTAGAAGCCATATAGAGAGTCAACCTTGCATTAATAATAAAAGATGATGGCATTTAAACTTTTATACAAAGTAGCAAGAAAATTACTCTGAAATTTGCTAAATTTCTCAAAATTCTTCTTTGCAAGAATAAATAATAAATACAACTATTTCTTATGAAATCAGGTTTCTTGTAAATTGATATTTATTAAACTAGCAAGATTACCTTCAGTTGCTTATGTTTAAAAAAGAAAAAAGCTTTTAGAAACATCATTAAACTGGAATACGACAACCATAGGAGATGCACTGTTTATAGAAGCAGATTATGATGAAATAAGCAAGTTTCAGAGAAAGGAAGAAATGTTTGTTTATATACTCGAGGCAGCACAATACAAGCGCTTTAACTTTAATTTACACTCTGATCAAAATATAGTGCTTGGTTTGGAAAAAAGAAGTATTTTAATTTCAGCTTTAATTTACTAAGACCCAGTCAGGTTGCTTCCCAGAAAATTAGTTTTCATTTAAAATTACTGAATAGTTCAAAATCATTAATGTTACAGATAAAAAGATCAAGATATAAATAAATTGTAACTTGAAAACAATTTAATGAGAAGCAAAGCAACAACACTTGTGTCTTGACTGTAGAAGCTTTAATTACATTATGCATTTAGCAACATGCAAATCTGATTTCTAAATCTTAAATCCAATTACATAAAGAAATTAGCCTAATTCATGGTTATCATTCTTATCATTTGTTAGACACAACAGTTGAATAGTCCAACGTATTTGTCATGAATTCATTAATTGCCAGACACAAAAAAAATGGTTTTATAATTTGGCAATTTATTTCAGATTTATTAACATGAATGCCTGTATAGACTAAAAAATGAGATGTTTATAAAATATATGGTAATCACTGTAGTCCTAACAATAAGACAATGAAAATGTCTAGGTTCTTTGTTTTTATAATGTTACTTAACATATTAAATGAGATTTACTCATTAGTAGCAAAGACCATTCCCGAAATCCCCAGAATATTGAATCATCTCTAAAATGTGTGGACAAATTTGGTTAACAGAAGAAAGTCAAAACCTATCAGTAAATTGCTTTCTTGTTGATTGTATTTGTTTCAGTAATGGCAAAATGAAGCACAAATGGCACTGCAATATTTTGCCAACATCACAAAGAAAATAAGATGATACATTAATAATAATAAAATTCTATAATTTTCAATTAAAAAAAGGATTGAAGATGAAGAAAATTCTTTATCAATGAAAAGAAAAAATAACAATTCCATGGTGATTTCTTTAGATCACACTGGATTTAAAATCTAAAATTTAAATATGTTGCAATGGATGTTTCTAATAAAAAAAATTATTTTTTTTAATAATTGAATAAAACTGAATTTCAAAAATAATTATTTTAAAAATATATGTTAATTATTTAAGGACAGAAACATACCAGGTGGAAGTTGTGAAATTTTAGTTCACTCAGTGTTGTTAAACTCATTTGCACTATAAAATTTACTTTGACTCACCATATCATATATTTTTAAGTAGAATGGAAAATTTTTATCTCTGAGACATCATTAAAGTGAGAGATTTAACAAAAATATCAAATTTAAATACAAAAGAAAAATCTTTGCATATTACCGGGATTGATCTTATAGAAAAATTCTTTATATTCATCCATCCATACTTCCACAATACGCATTGTGTTATGGTTGATAATGCGGGCCACACCACCAGGCCAAGAATAAGGTGATGTCTTACGGAATACATGGCCTACTCGTGAACAGGTAACAATAAATATTTGACCTCCGCACATCCAAATCTAAAATAGGAAGAGTTCAAAAAGAAAAAAAAAAAAAAAAAAAATGAAGAAAAAAGATAGAAAAGAGTAGTGAAAAGAAATGAAAACATGAGGATTATACAAAAAAATTATTCCAATTATACAAGTTGATTGATTTTGATATAAAAAAACAAGAACAGTAATAAAACAGACATAAAAATTCTAAATTGAAGATCAATCATTTGTCCCCATTTTTCAATAAACATACTAAATATTACCTTTTGCAATTAAATTTATTAAAGTCCAAGAATAAAACATTGAGACCAATTGTAATAGAATACGTAACAACAGAAAAATATCTAAGTTAAAAATTGTAACAGAAACAAGTATGAATTACTAAATATTTTATTTTCCATTTAGCAAAAGTTTTACTTTTTTATTTTATTTTTTTTAAACCCTATGAAAATTCATGGAAACCAAGAAGACTTAAAATTCAAAAAGCAATGTTTCAGTCAGATGCATTTTTTTCACTCAGTCATTGTTAGGTTAATTTGATTTTATCATTCTGATTATTTCAAATCTTGAATTTATAATAGAGAGAATTTATTTTTAAGTTTAAAAAATTTATCAAGTTTGATATACATTTCAGATATGGTTTCAAAACACGTAAGTAATTTTGAATAAAATATACTTGTTGGTGGTGATGATGATGACAAAATTTATCTTGATGCTATCTTAGTCTGCAGATAAGATCTCTAATTTAAGAACAGATCTAAAAAAAATTATCTATTATTAAATTACTGTATAATGCAAAAAAAAAAAAAAACAACCTGTCAGCCATTTTTATGATCGGAATGCCTGTAAAATAAAAATTTATTATATTCGGGTCCTATATTTAGGCATCCGACTATTAACAGAATTTTAGATTGTGATTTACTGACACAAACAAAAATAATTTCTTCATTTGGATAGTCACCTAATCAGAGTTTGATTTGGAAAAAAAAGCATTTAATGTTTACAACTTTCAGTTCAATAAAATCTTAAGAAAGCATCGTTTATAAACAAATAAAATAGCATCAGTATGTTGAAATGTTTATAAAAGAAATTAAGATAAAGCATTGTGGTTGTAACATTAGACAGGCTAATGTTTCTTGTTCATATTCTGACTGGCTGATAGATAATTATCTCTTGTATTTTGAAACCACTATATATCAATCCTGAAGAGAAATACCATTCAACTCAGCCATTAGAATGAAATATCTTGGCCTGAATGTCTCTCTGAATCTGAAATAACCTTGCAAGACATTTACTGTTAGATCTTCTTCTATGTGCTGTCTCCTTTCAGGATATGGGCTTTCCACAATTTCCTGTCTTTTGTAGCTCTTAGTAAAATTCATCTTTTTGCTATCTCTCCTAATCCCTGTTCTTCCAACCATTTGCACAAGCTCATCAGGTAGATTATTCACTGTTTTCCTCTATTTCTCTTGCCTTCAATATGTCCTGTAAGTCTCACATTCTCCAAGTCCTCTTTCCTCATTATGTCCCCTCTATATTTCAACTCTTTCAGATGCTAAGTGCATTTTTTTTCCATTTTATGTAAAACTTTGTCGTTGCTCACATTTTCAGTCCATAGGATTCTCAGCATCCTTCTGTAGAACCACATTTCTCTTGTCTGAAATCTCTTCTGCATCCATGACAAGATTGTCCAGTTTTCATTGCCATATAATGCATAAGAGTTCAATACTCTTTTCTTTATTTCTATCAAAATTTTCCTGTTTCTCAATACTTTGCTTAGGTTCTGAAGGCAATTTTCACTAACCCAGTGCACCTTCGGATTTCAGTGTCACATTTTCTGTCCTCTGTTAAAACATTTCCTAGATATTTTAATTTTTGCCCTTGTTTAATTTCAGTATCTCCAATTTGTAATTCGCATGTTGAACTGTTCCTCTTGTTGACAACTTTACATCCTCTCTTCTTCCAATTGACGTTTAGTCCTTTCTTCTTGATTTTCTTTATGACCCTCTACTAGAAGTTCCTGTAGCTTCCTTTCTATCTTTGCTATTAACACCACCATCTGCATATCTAATGTTGTCAATATTGTAGCAACTAATCCTGGTAGGACTTCTAATTCTCTTAGGAATGCTTCACTGTATAGGATAAATAAGTCCAGTGAGAAGACACATCCTTGTTTTACACCCCGTTCTAGTTTTGTATTACTGAATTTTTTTTCTATCCACATGCAGTCTGTTGGCCCCTAGTATAAGTTCTGGATTATTCTAATGCCCTTCCCAAATAAATCAAGCTTACCTAGCAGTTCCAGCAGTTCTTTATGAAGTACTTTATAAAATGCTTTTGCATAATCTATAAAAGATAGATATACATCCTTTTGCATTTGTATTGCTCTTTCTGAAATTAATGCTGAGCATAAATATTGCATTCCTTGTTCTGGTGTCTTATGCAAAACTGCACCATTCTTGTCCTTTTCTGGTTTAATTCTCTGCATGCTCTATTGATCAGAATTAGGATGATAGTTTTGTTATATGGCTGATTGTCTGAGGAAGTTCACATCTGAGTCCAACATGATATATGGATGATAATCTCATGTAATAAATAATGAAATGAATATGAAGCCATGAAATAATCATTAAAAATGTTTATAGCTATTTTTTTCTTAAAGTGGTATATCTCTTCAGGATGTAGATCATGGCTCTCCACAGATTCTTTTTCTTTATTTTATGAATTGCCATACATTCATGAGATAAAGAGTTTTCTTTTGCCTTCACCACAGTTTAGAACTTACAGTTTTCTTTCTCTTAGATTGGTTACCACCTAAGGCTAGAAAATCTCTGTCTAACCTGCTATTTAATCCATAGCTGGTGGCAAAAAAGACAGATTCATGCTTTTTCCCCAAGGGCATTTCTGCAAAAGTGAATAGCCCTGAATATTATAGTAATTAAATAATGAAATAAAAAATGAGAAAAGTGGTGTTGTGAAGTGAATAGTAAATCCTTGCCCCCAGTTACTATATAAACTAGTCCATTACTATAAAGATCTCCAGTTCAGACTGGTAGATGTTTGGAGTCGGTCTTCAGGTGTCATGGAATGTAGCTGAAGCATTACATGTAGAGAATCCTCATACAAAGTACGTTATATAAGTAAGAGTGTGTGATAACAATAGTCATACAATAGTGTCGATGAGGGATTCAAAACTCTTATGACTTATAACCGTTGTAACAAGGATTTTGGAAACACATTTGAGTTGTAATTGGAGTTACAAGAATTCAGCCACATTGGTTTAAAAAAAAAAACAAACAAACAAAAAAAATATATTCTTGTAAATATGAAGAAAATTTTTGCTTCCATAGTTGAAATTCAACAGTAACAACAAAATCAACAGTTGCTAGAACATCTCTTATGCCAGACAATGTCCAAGACACCATATCAGAAATTATATACAATTCTGATTAGGGACTGACTTTTTCTGCATATTTTTATACATATAAACAAATATTCAGTTCAGACTGCAATGGCTGGCAAAATGAGGTAAAAAACAAAATTGTTGTTAAGAAAAATAGCTCTGATACAGTATGAAAAATACTGTAATTACATTTTACCAAGAAAACCAGGTGAAATCAGGTTTGAAGACATGGTACACAATCTGACGAAAATATTTAGTGAAAAGAGCTGTGTTTAATGCTTTTTGGAGGTGCTTGGGTCTAACCAAAAAAGAGGATGAAAACATTGTCACATATTTTGGTATTGTCAATAAAGAATGTGAAAGGTTTAGAATAAATGAAATGACTCCAGATATGTTCAAAGGATTAATTTTTGTGCAAGGAAATTGGAAAGCCAAAGTTACGATTTCAGTTTCTGGTGAGAAATTTTTTTTTTTTGAGAAATGATTTACAATGTCTCATTCCATAATAAGCATGTAAAAACTAAAGCATATGCATTAAAAAAATGCTATGAATTTATTCGAAACGGACTGGATGGAACTGTTTGAAGTTTGGGATTTGCCAATAAACATTTATTATAAAAACCTAAATGGGCAAGCGACAAATTTAAAAAGTCAGAGCAAAAATCTTAAGAAATAATTAAAAAAAATGTTTTCCAGATATTCTGCCAAATGAACTGGGTGGGTGTTCAAAATTCAAGGTATATTTTCATGTAAAAAATGGTTTGATACCAGTATTTAAGCCAAGATGGTGAATACTATTTGCAACATTAGAACAAGTTAATGACGAATTAGATAGACTTGAAAGAATTGGTGTAATAGAAAAAAATTAACCATTCGAAATAGTCTGCATCATCAGAGTGTATGTTTTACATACACTGCATACACTGAAAAGAAATAATAAAATTTCTGTTAGCAAGGATTTCTCAACTACATTGGACAGTTGTTTAGAAACATAACTATCCATTACTAGAAGAGATTTTTTTAAAGCTGAACATCAGAAGGATATTTTCAAATCTGGATCTAAAGCATATTTACAAATTCAGATTGAAAATGAATGTTCTGAATTAATGATCATAAATATGCACAGATGATTATGTAAGTTTAATCAACTTCCTTTTGGTATAAAGGCGGCACCAGCTATTTTTCAACAAATCATGGATACCATGCTTGCAACATCACAGTGATGTATCTGGATGGCATTTTGATCAAAAGTGTATCAAAAGAACAACATGTTGAGCTTGTGAAAACAATTTTGGGAAAACTAAGAGAATACAGATTCAATCTTAGTGAAGAAAAATGTGAATTGTTTTTGCCGAAAATTAAATACGTTGATCAAATTATTGATAAAAATGATAGGCAACCAGATCCATCGATGGCAAGTGCAATTAAAAATATGCCAACACCAACAAACGTGACTACATTACAAGCTACTCAAGGACTGGAAGCTTGTATAATATCAGCAAGAATTCAGAAATTGATTTACATGGTGAAAGGGAAACAAAATTCGAACATAAAAGGTACCATAATCTGCTGAAAAAATGATTCAGTGATAAAAGACCTGTAATACTGAAAGAACCAATAAAAATTCTATATGAGGTTTTTGATGTGCCTGCACCACAACAAGTTGTGGAAACTACAAGGACAAGTTCTAGAAAAAGAAAGCATACGGAAGAACTGGAAGTGGATCAGGGACGGAAACACTAAAAAAAACAAGTAGTTGGTGAACTCTCCAGAAAGAGGAGGGCGAGATACTAATACTAATAAAAGTATTAATCTCAAAGTTTATAAAAAGTATTAATCTCAAAAGGGAGTAGTGTTTTTGAGTAAATGGTACACCCCTGGTGACTATATGAACTAGTCCATTAATATAAAGAGCACCAGTTCAGAGGTAAGACTGGTAGCCGTTTGGAGTCAATCTTCAAACTAATACAGGCATCACGGCAAGTAGCTAAAGCATTATGTATAGAGAATCCTTATATGAAGTACCTTATATAAGTAAGGGTGTGTTATAACAATAGCCATAGAATAGTGACGTTATAATAAGTGGGAAAAAAATATATCTGCAGCTTGATATCAATATAGGATTCATTTTGAAAAATGTTCTTTCAAACCAGAAAAATTATGAAACACAAACAGAAGGACTAGTCTTACTCTGAATGACATTTCCAAATTTTCTCCACCCCAGATGTCCATGCCTTCATCATAGGATCCAATTTCATAAAAATAGTCACGGTCAATGGCAAACAGGCCACCAGCCATGGTTGGTGTTCTAAAAAGTAAGAGTTATGTAAAAGTGAATATTTCATTAAACACACAAACAACATCAGGGATGATAAATCACAAAAGATTCATAGAAAAGTAAAAAAAATGTAATTGGTGCTGAATACATTTTCTGCAAGGAAGATACAACTTTATGTTGAAACCAACAAATTTGGATTTCATTTATATGAAGACTGAAACAAAGTAATTCTTTCAAAAAATGTTACATTATTTACCCTTGGAGTATTGTCCTCATCTTTTATTTTTATCATCACAATGCTTCAGCCATTGTGATCACTGACCTTCTTCAGATGTCTGTCAATTCAAGTAACCATCAGGGAATTTTGAACTGAACTCTTTATTTAAATCAATAAGGATAGATTGTTTGAGTCCTGCTAACTGTATCTAAGGATATCTAGTCTTGTTCTTACTTAGCACAGCTCAATTATTTTTCCTCATTCTGTTTTTCACTAAATCTAAGTCTGCACTACCTGGCCCAGGGATTGAACTCACAATTACTATGTCATAAATTCACAAATCAACACTTTAATCCACTAGGCTACGACCACATATTCCATTCTTTTAAGAGTGTTTCAAATGACAACAGAATTTTGTGATATTAAACAACCATCTATAATGATTCATGACATTATTCAACTTTGACTTATTTTTTAATGATCAAAATTTAGCAATAATATTTTCTTGAATAAATCCTTGATTAAAAATCTATATAATTCATTCTTTGCACTATTAAACCATAAAAGTGAAAATAGTACAGATCAAAGACTCTTATTTGATCTGTCAATAAGGATTCATTTATATATATTTCTGTAAAAGGATACTTTGTATGATTTCAGATAAAAAGAGGACACTTGATAATGAAGAGTAATTTATTAATATCTATGGTAAGTAAATAAGATTAATCTTTTCTACTTAATTTGGTGTTTGATTCTGGCAACAATTTTCCCATCTGACAGTAGAATGAATTCTGTCAATACACTTATCTAAGAAAATGTGCAAAAGACATTTTTTAAAGTAATTAAGACACAACGTTAATGCTTCCATCTGCATCTTTTCTTTTAATGCTGATTAAGGAAGCTAAGATGCAATTATTTGGAGATGATTAGAGATGAAAAATTAAAGGAGAAAAAAAAAGCAACAAAAGAGAAAAGAAAGAAAATGTGTCTTGCCCAATGTGAACTTTATTTGTAGCTTTTATTTGATCATTTTACTGACCAAAAATCTTGTTTTCAGTTTCATTAATCTCATTATCTGAAAACAAATAACTTTTATTTTCTTCTTCCTTTCAGACAAGAAAATTACAATAAATGTTGATGAATTCTCTGCCTGCTTTGGTTACAAGCTTTAAATTTGTTTTGTAAATAGGAGCCAAAGAAAAATGTGCCAAACTAAAGATGATGAGGTTTTGATTTCATTTGTTTGTTTACAATTTCAGCAATTCGTTATGAACCAAAAAAACAAAAACCGCAAATAAATGAGTTGTCATAAATTGTCTTGAATTTAATTTTGTAAAAGTAGAATCCATGATACTTAAGCACCATGAATATCATAAGCAGAATAATGATCTTGTTACAAACAGAAGACAAAACAGGATAAAGATATTATTCACAGCACAGATCAGATGACATTACTACTGACAGGATTTGTATTGAAGTTTATAAGTTATGAGGAAAAAATAGTAATTGCTTCTACCAGTTTTTTTTTAATATTGTCTATATTAAGACATATTTTCGACAATTACAATTACTTTATATATCTTTTATTTGTTGCAGTTTCATAATCACAAGTCCCATTAGGGTCTAAGGGGCACTACATGTATTGTAACCATAGCAACAGTGGTGTGTTTTGGGCAAGATAGCCTGACAGAACCCAACCCTCTCCAGGCTAGTTTGAATTTAGAGTTGTCTTTCTCCAAGACTGGTTGCCAAGCAAGGCTTTAAGGCCCAGTCTGTTCTGTTATTTACCCATAGATGGGGGGTAGTATGAGAAGAGATTGGTTCATACCTTTCCTAAAGATATTTGTAAGTGAATGTAACAAACTTGACTGGAATTTGAACCCAGCTCTCCAACTTCTTTTTTCAAGCCACTAACCAATGCGCCCACTGTGCATCCAGTTTAAGATAAGTAGTGCAGCAGTGTAGTTTAAGATAACCAAAAAAAGCTGACTGATTTCCCAAAGGCAAAAATTTTAAGCATCATAAACATGAATTCTCCTGACCGCATATAAACTTCTGTTAACAGTTGTTGATTATGTGTCATACAGTAATTACAAAAAGAATGTACATATTGCATTTCAGTTTAAAAGAATATCAGCAAATATGTTCAGTTTCTTACTGTGTTATCATTACTATTATTTTTCTTCATGTTAAATTACAAAGACACATAGGGCAGTAAATAATAAGAAAATTAAATAAAAGACAAATATAGATGTCTTAACAACTTGTGACAAAGTTTTAAAAGTGTTCAAATGAAATGTTAAAAGAAAAAAAATGTTTAAAAATACTTACCGTGTTGGCAAGGATCGATCTCCACCACGCCGCTGCATTTCTCTCTGGGGCACAGGATACCATCGGAAATTGAGTTTCCAATTAAAACCACCCCAGGTCATGTCTGAACCAGTAATGTACTCAAAAGTATCATCACTGATTACATCAATAATAGGGCACACTACTGATTTGCTGAAATTGAAAATTTAAGGAGATTCTTTTTTAAAAAAAAAAAATAAATGTGAATTTTTAAAATATTGAAGAAATTAGAAAAAAAAAAGAAGCTGTATTGTGTAACTTTATATGTAAAAGTTTATAATGAAAACAAGTCTTAATAATTATTTTGCAAAATATATTTACAGATTTTCTCAAATATGAAATTTTGGAAATTTTCTTGGCAAATTTATTCTAAATCCCAAACCTACAGGTCTATGGTAGATGAAACAGTGATCATAACCAGCCTTGGTTCACTCCGAATAGGTCATCATAACCACAACTATAATATCTATCACAAGAAGTAAGACCCTTGCTGTATTTAGAAATGCCTACAATCATTGCAAGAGAGCTCTAGAAAATGCATAGTGCAGCTATGCACAAGCAGTCCAATCTAAGGTTGAAAGTGAAAAAAATTGCATCCCATGAGTTCTGGAAAATCTCTTACCAAATTTTCAATAGAGGCAAAGCGTCAGTGCTTACTATCATATTAATGAAACAAAGATCATCTTTGAAACAATTTCAGAGAAGTTGCAATTGATATTGTAGACAACAAACAATTTTTTACTATAAAAATGTATTTTCATACTTTCACAGTTTTTTGTTTTTGTTTGGGGGTTTATTATTTGCTCATAGCTGGGACCCTAACGGGTACTATCACATTGGGTCAGGGTGGACCTGATTAAATATTCAAATTTATTTCTTTATTATTTTTGCAGATACCTTAAACCATTTTAACAGTAGCGGAAGAGAAAAATGACTCTTTTGTTAAATTAGCCAGTGTAACAGTAATAAGATAATATGGATAACATTCAAATTAACAACCGAAAATATTGGCGCTGCTTACTGCCAGCTACTGTTTATAGTCGGGTTGCCAAAGGGGTGAGCTTCTTATTTCTTTACTTCATCAACTTCAGAATTATCTTTAGAATCCAAATTTGATGGGTGATGGATTCTATTATATTGGTTATTACATTGATGATTATATTAAAGTTAGTTGGTGAGTTATTCATCTTTTCTATTTCTTTTCGATTAATAACCCATCATGTCAAAAAAAAAGGGAAATGTAATGATGACTATTTGCACTTTGGTTTCACTTGTATGGGAAATGATGAATTGCAAAGACCCCAGTGCATACTTTGTAATGCTGTGTTTTCCAACGCAAATAGGAAGCTATCAAAGCTGCAAGAGGATTTCAACAATAAGCCCAGTGAAGATGGTATTGAAGGCCATGATTTTGAATCACTGAAAACTAAATGAACCTGTTTTCAATCTCAAGGAACCCTTCCAAGATTAAGTTTCGTTTCTGTTGACAAACAACTGCTACTGGCTTTGTACCAAGTGGCATATAAAGTAGTCAAGTCCAAGAAGCCCTATACAATTGCATAAGAACTGATCAAACAGTGTGCATTAGAAATGGCAAAAACTGTTCTGGGCCAAGAAGCAAGAAAAATGCTTGAATTAGTGCCACTATCTAATAATGTCATTCACAATCGAATTGGTGATTTGAGTGATGATATTTTGGATCAAATTATCTCAGATGTCAGGTCTAGTTCTTTGAAAATCTCTCTCCAGTTGAATGAATCAACTGGTGTATCAAACTGCAGTCAACTCATTGCATTGGTTAGGTATGTCAGTGAAATATTTCCTGTTTTGTGAAGAGCTGAAAACAATCATACAAGGAAAAGATGTGTATCAGTTTGTGAAAGACTTCTTTGCTAAACATGATTTAGATATCCAAACAAGTGGTTATGTGTGCACTGATGGTGCTCCTGCAATGCTAGGGAATAAATCTGAATTTTCTGTACTGATGAAGAGGGAGATTCCGTACTTGCAAGTTACTCACTGTTTCCTTTATAGTCATGCTTTGGCAACACAAACATTGCCCCCAACGTTGAAAAAAAAGTACTTGACACTTGTGTAAAGATCATCAACTAGATTAGGGTTACGCTCTGAACCACTGCATCTTTTTTGTGAAGATCTGGGAAATTAACATACAATTTTGCTTTTCCACATAGAAGTCTGCTAGCTCTCATGAAGGTGAGCTTTAAGCTGCTTCTTTGAACTGTGGGAAGAAATCAAAGTTTTTTTCTGGAGGAATGTAACTATGATCTGGTTGGTGAATTAGAATCACAAAATTTCATGAAAATGCTGGCTTATTTGGCTGACATTTTAACTCGTATGAATGAACCGAGTGTCTCTCTTCATGGAAAACATATTGAAATGTTGTGAAAAGTTGAAAGCTTTCAAAGAAAAGTTACCTCTTTGGCAACTTTGAAACTCTTAAACACTTCCTGGAATCAAGCACTCTACACAAAATATTCAATAAAAACACTGTAAAAATCAGCTAAAGTTGCACCAAAAACATGGCACAAATAATAAAAAAGCACAACAGGAAAACCATCAGCAAACCACCTGAACAAATTAAACCCATGTGTAACTGTAGAATAAATAATGAATGTTCCTTAAATGGTAATTGCTTACAAAATAATGTAATATACCAAACCACGGTAAAATCACCAGATAATGAAGAAAAAGTATACATAGAAGTAACTGAAGGACCCTGGAAACAAAGAAATTATGCACACAAAATATCTTTCACAAATAGTAAATATGCGAACAGCGCAATGCTTTCTAAGTATATCTGGGAAATTGAAAACAAAATGCAAATCACACCAAAAATATCATGGAAAATAAGGAAAAGATCATCAGCCTACACCAATCAATCCAAAGCCTGCAAACTTTGTTTGGAGGAAAAAATAGCTATTATTACCTTTCCAGACCAAAATAAAGTACTAAATGAACGATCTGAGCTCATCTCAAAATGCAGACATAAAAACAAATTTTTACTGTTACTTAAAATCGAAAACTGAAAAGAATAGACAAAAATAAACAAAATAATATAAAAAACAAGTAAAATAAATTAACCCAAGCAAATAATAAACCAATTAACAAACCATTCCCTTTAGAATTGATGAAATAGAACAAATAAAAATAGAAAATAAATATATAAAATACAAGTAAAAATAATCAATCTGAATAAAGTAAACAAGAAACAAATCAACAAACAAATCCCTCCAAAATAACCGTTAGAATCAACAATCAATCCAAAAATTGGATGAGAAAATAGCTATAAATGCTATATAACAAAGAAAATTACGTTACTCAAAAAATGAAAACCAAATAGAGTATATAAAAATATACAAAATAAAAAATAAATAATAAAAATAAGCAAATAAATAAGAAAAAACAAGTAAAGATTAATCCAAAATAAATAAATGAACAAATTACAAATCATTCCCACTAAAATAACCATGAGAACTAATAAAAATAAACATAAATAAGTATAATAAGCAACCTAAGAAAATCCCCCCCAAATTTTTTACCACATTAATTAAATATAGAAAACCAAAAAGAATAAATAAATATATAAAATAAAAAATGAGAATAAAAAACAAGTTAAATAAATTTTCCCAAATAAATGAATCATCAAGCCACTCCTGCCAAAATAACTGCTAGAATGGATTACCCACAATACACCACTGACCCATATATATAGTCGAGGAAAAATCCAACACTCACGGCATGACGATTGTGCCTAGCATGAAACAACCTGTCGCCTCTGAGTGTTGACTTCAATGTTCACTTTTATATTTATATATCTCTGATATTGACCACTTTATCCTGTAAATATAGCACACCTTAAAACTATATATATATATATATATATATATGGGTTGTGCAAAATCATATAAATTTTCTTGGGGTGCAAGACACAGAAAAGGTTGGGAACCCCTGCTCTAATGTATTTCACCAACATGTCACATCAAATATTAAGACTGGGTTCAATTGCTCTTATTTAACTGGACAAATCCAAGGGTAAAGTCATATTCTTATATTGTAAAAATGAAAAATTCCAAGCCGAATATAAACTGGCACCATCACAACAACACTTAAAGACATTGACCTGCCTTAAAAGCATATAAATAAAATATATAAAGCAACAATTACAAGATAAAAATCAAACACTTTCCAAGATATCTGATAGAATTCTTTCAGAGATACAGTACACACACATGTGTGTGTGTGTGTTAAGGATTTGGGTAAATGATCCCAACAGAGTTATACATTAAATGACAATTGGAAAAAAATGTTGACTTTTTAGCTTCGATCTGATGAAGCCTGAAAATGCATTATCAGATATTTTTTCTAAGCATTATATTTTCATGAACATTTTTTTCCAATTGTCATTTAATGTGTGTGTGTGTGTGTATATATATATATATATATATATATATATATTGATAGAGTACCAGGGATGAAAGTCCAGATCCAGATCCATCTTTGGTGGAACTGCTCCTTGATTGAACATGTTTTCAGGAGTGTAGTCATACTCACCAAGTGTGGCCAACTACAGGTTGGTGAAACTATTTAACCGATAGCTGGAGCCTTTGAACTTTGGGGGCAATGTTTTTGCTGTCCTTATCCTAGATTGCCACCCAAGGCTATAGGACACAATCTGTCCTGCTATTTACCCTTAGCTGGGAGTGGGTGAGAAGAGATGGATTCAAACCTTTCCCAAAGGATCTTTGCACGTAAGTGAATGTAACAAACTTGACTGGAATTCAAACTCAGCTCTGCAATTCTTCAATCCGAGCTACTATCAATTACTCTGCATGCCTCAATATGCAGTATTTGGATATATATTAAGCTGGTTAAGATATAGTATGTTTCACTGCATTTGAAGACACAAGTGTGAAATTTTCAACCTTTTTCTCAACCATGAATCAAAACTTAACTTGTGATCATTTTTTTTAAATCATTTCTCCTCAAGCAATGCAATAAAGCCACTAAGACACTAGGGGTTACTGAGAACATAAAAAAAATGTTGAGAGAGAGAGGATATTAAAGGAACAAAATTTAAGGAGACAGAAGATCATAATATTGCATTTAAAGTTTTGAAGTTTGTAGTTGACAGGAAAGCTCCACAAGTGAGATGTGCAAGAGAAGAAACCATAGAACTTAACAATTTCAACAGGAAGATGATGAGACCTAGTTGCCAATCTAGTACAAGGCTTAAATTCATGAAGTTGGGGAACTAAAGGAAAGCTCATCAGAACAATTAACATGAAAATATTTAAAGAAATGGCAAAAGAAAGCTATTTTAAGGTGGCGAGAAAAATGACTGAAGCCAATATGTCAGGTCAGGACCAATGACATTGCAGATTCTTTGGATTTTGTCAAAAATCTCTAGATACATAGCAGAAGCACTAGACCAGAGGTAGCAGCAATATTCAGTGCACGGATAAATGATAGACTTATAAAGGTGCAAGATGGATTCTGGTGAGAAAAATTGTCTAGTATGGAACAGTGAATTAACTTTCCCAACAACAGACCTAGAAATCGATTTAATATAATTCTTCCACTTCATGTCAGTGAAAAACTCGAGTCCAAGAAAGCGCTGTGAATTGCTTTATTAGAGGTTACCATCAGCCAAGATGGAGGTGTTAAAATTAACAAGTTATTTCTTGTTCCAGTTAACAACAGGTTAAAGAACCGAGAACTGATGTCGTCAGGAAGGTTGTTAATGAATATTAAAAAAAAAAAATCATTGACTAGTTTTCATTTTTGAAACTCCAGTACTGATCAGGGATTTTTAAGTAAGATAATTATAAAAGTGCGTTTTTCCAACTCACCGATCTTTGTAAATTTCAGCAATTAATGGTTCCAGCCATCCTGGGGAGCATTCACAATGAGCATCAAGGAATGTTAAGATTTTACCTTTTGCAACAGCAGCACCTAAAATAAAAATAAACTCATTGACGTTTTTGCTTATAAAGCAAAAAGAAACGAATAAAACATATCTTTTCAAAATTTATGAATGAAATTATGAGTAGAATTTTTATTCTTAGGAATAGTTCCCAATTTAGAGTGTACACATGAATATTAGAAAAAAATAAAAAATCATTTTCACTTTCAACTTTGTTTAATATATTTTATCCAATTAATACAATCCAAAATAAAATTATATTACAAACAATGTAGCATGTATTCATCAAAGAAACATATGTTGAAATTTTTTCCTAAATCAATAGCATAATATAAGACATTTCATTTTTCACATGAAACCAACAAGCCACACCTCAGTTAAATCAGGTATGTTAGATTAATTGATTCTACAAGATGAAACAATTCTCTTATCAATGCATAGACTGACCTTGTGCTGTAAAGAGTTTAGACTTTTGAAGGAGTCATCATTTGCCTATCAATACAATTTTCATATATAGAATAAAAAAAAAACAAACAAGAAAGTCTACTTTAACAAATAATTACTTTTTCCTCTCAAGAGAATAACCACAAACCATTAATCTGTGTGAACTTTTAGGAAAGGTTCTTTCTTTCAATATTTTTAGGCTATTATGATCTAATTGGACACTTCATTTTATTGACCATTTATCTTTCAACAATAAATATTGTATAATGAGACATAATTGATGTCTGATAACATTAAACTTATTCATTACTGTAAACTGTTTCTGGGATAATGTTTTTTTTTAAAAGCAAGTCATACTTTCAGAAATTGTTTTGTCACAACTAATACCGGTATAGATTATTTTAACAGAAATAAGATTTGTCTAGATCCTACTAAACATCTTTGGGACATAACTTATTTCATGAACATATATTTTAAGAATCATAACTAAAGCTAATTTTAAGATGTTGCGTATTCTCTCAGAGACAGTTTTCCTGAGCAGCTGAAACACTTAAATTATTTTATAAGTGCTTTATTGTGATAAAAGTTATGAAAAACTTTATCTAAATATCTATCACTGTGAAAAGTATTTACAAGGTTATAGTAGATATAAATTTAAAAATGAAAAGATAAAAAAATATTTCTTATTGACTAAATAATAAAACAGCTACTGGTGGTTATTGAAAAACAATGCTGATGATTGATTTGTTTTTTTTATGGATTATCAACCCTTTTGCAGGTTATTCAAAGCCAGAAAATATTTTTGAGATAATAATGATTTACTGATACATGTCATACTAATTAACCCATAGTTGGAGGGGGGAAGAAAGGTGGATTCATACTTCAAGGGTATTTAGGCAGAAGTGAATAAAACAAACCCAACTAGAATTGAAACTTGCTCTCTGATTTCAAATTCTGAGCCATTATCCATTACACTAGATGCACACCCATGCATACAGCAGCTGGTATTCCCAAGCAGTCACCCATCTAGGTAATAACCAGGGTCAACGTTGCTTAATTTTTGGTAATCAGACGAGAACCAGTGTTTCAACACGATATGGCCATAAGCCAATAGTCGCTATAATTGACTAAACCCTACTTATACTTCACAATCAGTTTTTAACTTTCATTAGTCAAGTACCTTTCTTTTACTGATGGAATATATACAGAATGTGAGTTTTTCTGGTGCCAAGTAGACACTTTCAATCATATTTTTCTTTTATTGAGAAATCATTACCACAAAAACAAAAAACAACAACATTTATTAGGGTGAGTGAGAAATAATTTCTGTTTTTGTTGATCAAGGATATACATTGTTTTTTTTGCTAAGAGCATGTGAATCCCAAACATCCAACTTGCTGACTTTCCTGATCTTTTCTAAGTGTCGGCATGTGGTAGATTACAGTGGTCTTAATATCATCACTTATTTTCAAGTACTTTGCCATGGATTGCTTTCCACTAAGGACTTAGAGATTTAGCATCAAAGTCTGATGAACAACCCAGTATGGGTTCATCTTCAAATAGCATTTCTCTACAATTAAACTTTGCAAAACAATTTGCCATTCAATTATAACTCCTCAAACATAAACACAACATATCTTTCTAGATGCCTTCATAGCATTATTCCTTTTGCCTGAACTCATGTAACATTATGCAAATGCACTTTTAATCCCACCATTAGTGAGGTTAAGAAATTTATTCTTTAATACACTGTGCACACTACTACTGCCATGTAAAAACTATGTTAACATGTGGCTGAATGGTTAACAGCACATCAGATCAAATAATGCCTTCCTCCCATTGGGGTTACAGGCTTGATTCCACTCGAAGAAGCACATATTTGCTATGAAATTTCTCGTACATTCAGGCTGGTAAATGTAATTAATATTCTTTATTTAAAAAACAGAGTATTTAATTAAATCAATTGTATCGATTAAAAATAACATATAAACAAAAATATATCAAATAATTGTCAGTCTTAATCCATTATATATATATATATATATATATAGGATTAATACAAATATAAAATTTGCCTTTTAGCTGATTGATGTTATATTCAGCACCTTGACTCCAGAGTTTCATAGATGAAACTTTTTATAATTGTTTAGTCCACTTGTCAGGGGTATCAGCAATTGTTTGCTGATTTTCTCATTTTTGTAATTTTTATATTAAATTAAAGATAATAATTCATTTTTATTGGCATTAGGTTGATATTTTTCTCCTTTGTGTGTGTGAGTGTGCACACGTGTATAGAATGTTGTGGTTATTTCTTCTTTTCATAATTTTCTTGTCCCCTCATACTCCCTCATTATTCCTTTTCCTTCTTTTTTATATCTTTCAGCTCTGGGTGTTGAAGATAATGTAACAATGTTATTTCTGGTGTCATAGGACTTATTTTTAGGCTAATTTTTCTTCAATATTCTAGGGTTTTCTTAAGTTTTTAAAATATAGGTTTATTCCCTTTTTTTATTTATTGTTTAAATATATATATTTTTTAATTAATGCTTCAGTGGCAAAGTACATATAAGCCAGATAAATATGAGCAAAATTTTTACAAATGTTAATGAGTCAATAATTTGCAAGTGTGATTGTGGATTTAAGAAAAATAAGATTAACATCTGTTCATGTTTTTATTGTGCTTTGAACAATAAAACAGACTTAAGGCAAATCCAAAATTCACTGTAAGATGGGAAGATAACATGCAGATAGACATCCTTTACTGCTCTTTGTACTTTAAAAAAAAAAAAAAAGTTGAGTCTTGATTTTAAGCAAAGCTTATCACTTCGGCTTTGTATCGATCAACAAGGTAAGAAACCAACAAAAATAACAAGAGCAACCATCTGTTCCCTTTTCTGGTTCAAATTCTAGATTATGTCTTCAAGCTTGCAAATCTAAAAAAATTATTTTGTCAGTTACAATGTTAAAGGATTACATGAAAATACAATACAAGAGGGTCCTGAAGAATACTCAGCTCAACACACTTCAAAATCAATATTTCAGTGACCAAATATCAAAAGAAAAAAAAAAAGAAAAAAGGAAGGGTTAAAGAAATATCAGGATATACCAAGAATGTTGAATGTCTGGGGGAATAGACATACATTTCAATGCTTCTAGATCATTCTTCTTTTCCGTATTCCCTCATATAAGTGGATGGTTTACAATAAGTCAGTAAAAATATGTTCAGTTAGTTTAACAGTTTTGACAGCAAACATTTCTTACTTTAGGTAAAAAAAAGATTTTTTTTACTATAATGATCTGTCCTGAGCTCAAATATGAGAGATTCCTTTCTGAAACTAGAAAATATTTCTGTGCAATTCAAAGATTAGTTTGCTCTTCTTTAAGTGAAAAAAATATTTCTAATAGCAAAAATGAAATAATTGAAACATCAAAGAAGTTAAGAGAAAATAGTTAAAACTTCAGTGATTTTTGTAGCAGGACAATGACAACATTTATCTGACAGTTGATGGTTTCACTTAGGTCATTACAAACCATATATATGCTGGTTTATTTGTCAGCTTAATTTACAATGTATCAAGTAGGATAAGATATGAATGATACAAAATGAGTAAACTATTCTGCAACGAAGGAAATGAAATGCATGCTGACAAGAAAGAAAACATGAATTTCTAATTAGATTGTTACATGAATGAAAAGTAATTTATCTTCATGGTCCTATTTACAAAATGATATTTAAGAATTTTTTTTTTTTTTTTTACTATAATGATTTGTCCTGAGCTCATATATGAGAGGTTCATTTCTGAATCTATAATAAGATATTTCCGTGCAATTCAAAGTTTGCACTAAGATTACCATTTGTTTTCTTTATTCTAACATTTTGATCCTATTGTTTGAAATGTCAACTTACCTTTTAATCTGGCTCGTATAAGTCCTGTTCTTTCTTCTAATCGGACAATGTGAACTTTAGCCGGTAATGCAGCAACGTAATCATCCAATTTCTTCCCCAAATAATCTGAAACACATTATTGGGATTGATTACAGAAACAAACAAAAAATAAAAAAATTGCAAGTAAACAAACCAATTCAAAACAAAACCGATGCCTCTTTGTAAACCAATCAGAACATAATCCTAATTCTTAGAGGATAGATCAAATGACTAAATGGAGACAGACAGTAATTCTTCATATAACAAATCAATGTTCTATAAACAACATTTACAGTTTTATTAACACTAATGCATCATTTACATTCCCTGACAAAGAAAGAATTGTCTGAAATTTGAAGCAAGAAATATTAATGAAAATTCAAACCCTGCCCTAAAGCACATATTCTGTTAGGAAAACAGTCATACAAAACTATGTATGAAAGTGTTTTCATTATCTTTTCATAATAAATTTGTTTATCTTTATTATACATTATAGAAAATATTAAATAATTTCATGAGAACAATAACTTAGCATCAAACTTTCTATTATGTCTTAAATGTTTTTTTTTCTTGATCATTTTGCTCATGTTAGTAATAGAATATAGTTTGAGTTTTAATCAGGTATTTTGAAATGTATGAAATATTCTTCAAAGTAACTCTTCTAAAAGTGTCACAAGATGAACACTGAAATATTAATTATATAAATTAAGCATTTTAAATATCTGATAGTTTTTCTCCACTACAAATATGAAATGATAAACATGTTGCTACTTCCTGCTTCCTTCTTTGGCAAAAAATCTTTAAGTAACTCCTGCTCCACAATATATACTCCACAGTATGGCTTCAATTTTAAAATATCACTTTCATATATAATGTCTTAAAATAAATATTAAGAAATAATGTATTGAGTTTTATTCATATATTAAATATGTTAAATCTCAAAACAATAATTATACTTCAGATGGTTCCTTTAATTTTTAAACAGAAAGGATATTAAAATTTTGAGCAAATACCTCATCTTTAATATTTTCTAGAATATACAAAGTCAAAATTTTGCAAAATAATCTGACTTATGTACAATGCTTATAACAGTAGAAAAAGACACCCAGAGACTTCATCTTGAAACACAAAAGTCATCCACCTTAGAAGATTAGTAAACCCTTGGGATGTACTGAGAAAATAACTCCTTGCATTCTAAACAACCAATTTGTCCTTTGTTTGTAAATTTCAAGTTCCTATGACAATTTTTAAAGAAATATATTTTTTTAAATAAGTGTATTTCATTAAATAAAAAGAAAAAAAAAAAGAAAAAAAAAAGTACATATAAATCACCTCTTTCACTAGCATCATCTACCATAATGATTTCTTCCAGCAACTCAGGGGGAGATCGGTTGATGATACTATGTACAGTTCTTAATAGTGTAGACCAGGCTTCATTATGAAACACTATAACAATGCTAGTCTTGGGATATTTCTCAATTGTATACCCTTTTTTCTTGCATCTGTAAAGAAATAAAAACATAGGTCAAAATTGTTTCATTATTATAATTTGTAATATAAGAAAAGAATTGCACAGATCCCAAGTGCCACTGAAAAAAGACTTCTTATTAAATCGATCAAGTTGGAATAACTAATGAAAATAAAGATGTAGAAAATGAATTACATATATAGATATTCATTAAGACAGTTGCTCCTGATTGTACAAAGTCAAGATGAAGTTCATGTCAAAGTCAAGTCTAATAAAGTATTAATTTAAATAATCTTCAGATTGTACTGTGTACACTTGTTTAAATAGAAGCAACAAGGTCTCATGAACCACTTTATTCATCTTAAAATATTAAAAGAAAAATTTCAGTTTTTCTATTTTAATTTTTAATTATTGAATAAATTCATTGCGTGTTCTACAACTATAAATTCTCCTATTGCATCATTAAACAAATATTACAATAATAATCATAAGTATGAATGTAGGTTATTATTTAAAGAAGTAAGAGGGTACAAATGAAAAGCTCTGAATCTGACAAGTCTTTCCATTTCAATGAAGCAGATATTAAATGCATTATCACCTCTTTTATCTTCCTTTCCTAAACAGAGTCTTTCATAAATTTTTTCTTGTCTTTCCTCGCAACAAAAAAGGAAGAGTACATTATTTATCCAAGGTAATGGCAGGACATAACACATGTACTAACTAAGGAACAGGTAGAATTATAATAGTCTTCAGATTGTACTGTGTGCATTTGTTTGAATAGAAAAAAAAACAACAACGTGTTATGGACCAATTTATTCATGCTCCAAAAGTATTACAAGAGCTGATTTGTCTTTTTTATGCCTATATGCCAATGGGTTTACAACCAAAATGATTAATAATTATACAAATTCTTTATTAGCTCTCAAAAATACAAAAAATTAACTGACACCAATCAATAACTAATACAAACTTATTATTTTGATAAATTTGTGGGGGTTGATCCTGATTTTAGATGCCAAGAGGATCATTTACAAGATTTTTTTTTCCATTTAATTTTTGGTAGTTGCTACTTAATTTTATCTAAAGCAAAATTCAAAATTGCTGGTCGCACAAATGCAGCTCTAGCTACACACACAGTTGACATTTCAGAGTCTTTGCAAAGACCATAGAATTTGTTGGTTTTGAAGCCAGTCAGAAAATGGTCACATTCCATCAACCTGCACACTTTCACAGGAGTATCACTGACCTTTCACCTTGACTGGCCCAACAAACCTACCAAAATTGTGTTATATACTTTAACACTAACCTGAACAGAAAAATAGATCAAAGAACAGCAAACAAAGCTAAAAGAAGACTAGACAAACACATCTAGGGTAATGTCTATACTATTAGGCATTAGCTTTGCCTCATTCTGAATATGCATTGAGTTATTTCCTCACAAACATTTCTCACTCAAGAGAGCCATCAACACAAGCATTGAAGCTATACAGCAAAATGCTCATCAGTATTGTGCAGACATGTGGCAAGGATAGAATGCTATCTTCCAAAGAAACTTCTATATTTAAAGAATGACTGTCTCTTTGGCAGAGCATTAAGAGGCCACAGAAGAGATAAAAGGACTCATTAAAAAGTACTAATTTGTTATGGAACTGACTACCATCAGCACACAACAATGGCTACCATTGTAGAAATATAAGGTCTTTTAGGCAACCTCACAATCAGAAGCAAACTAAATATCTGCTATGGAAGAAGAGAGGAATGCTAAAAAAATGAAGCTCCCTCCAGTTGCCAGATATTCTCCTGTAGCCATTGTTGCAAGACTTAACAGTCCCATGTGGGTCGCACCAACCAAGATATAAAATTCCCTTCTAAATCTTCAAGAAGTTAAGCTATCATAGTGATGAAATGAACTTTTCCAGCATGGTATTTGTATCGATCATAATATCTAGATTCTCATCATGCAATAAGTTTGAATAATTAGTTCCCTATGTTGACTCTTTGTTTTCATCTACAATTAAAAAAAATTCTGTCCCAAAATTATAATTTTATATGATTATTATTATTCTAAATAGGTGAGTTTAACTGCTAACCTAATCTCTAATTCAATATCCATCCAAATAATTTCTCCCATTATATAATTCTAAGGAAATAGAAAAATAGTGAACACATTCTCATCATAGAAAGAAATAAAGCAGAAAGTAACAGTGATTACTCACCCGTCCATTCGATAATCAAGTAGAGATCGATTTAATGATATCATGTCACTAGCAACTAAGTTGAATTGGTTTATTTTAAACTTTTCTTTTGATTCCTGTTGTTTCTGTGCTGGAACAATGACAGGTTTCCCAAGTTCACCAGGGCCATTTCTACGAGGTATAAACACTGAAAACAGTAAAAAAAAAAAAAAAAAAAATGAATAAATAAAAATAAAAGATTTATTATAATGTTCACAACAAATAAACACAAACACTCAGAATCTGAAAAGGGCAACTTGTTATATGTTCCTTTTATACTCAATGCAAGTCATACATGGATTTTATTTCAAACATCAATGCTATAATCTATGGCCTCTCTCTCCAGCACACAGAGTAGTACAGATAAATTTGAATGCAAAACTACTTATGTTGCTAACCCAGTCATAACATAATATGAGTATCAGCAGGTAAAGTCTCAGGGTTGGAGGAGATTGAATCATTCACCTATTCAAGATAAAGTAACACATCTGTAAAGGTTTTACATTTCAGTGACTACAATATACATGACATTTGAAAAGTTAATTTTCTTTTTTTTATAAAATTATAGATATATTATTAACATAAATCAAAATTACATATTTTATTAAATCATTTTAAAATTGGAAGCCATTTGCAAGACATCCATCAAGTTGTGCTTAAGAGCAGTGTGTATATATATATGTATATTGGATTACATAGAGAATACTAATTGTTTCCTTTTTAGAGGTGAGGGTATGCGCTCTTTACAAACAAAGCACAAAAATCAAATTTTGATTATTTTGTATAACATCCAGTCATTAAGAAAATGATTTAATAAATATATTGGAAATATCTGAAGACTTGTCATTTGCTTCCACAAGTCAATTTGATTTTTTGTTTTTTGTTTTTAATAAATAAATCTGTCTATATTATTTATTTGAGAATAAAATAACTCTACCATTTTATATGATCAAATTGTTTCACTTGGAACATTACTGACTTGATCTAGCTGAGCAGTTATTTGAAAGTTGCAACATCTCTATATGACATGTCACTTCAAGACATGGGTAATTGTGGCTCACCAAAGCTTACTGTCTTCAGCAAAACTTTCTTTTTATATCCCTACTTTCTCTTTGTGGTACTTGTTTTTCTGTCTATTTGTATAAAACTGTCAAGTAGGTTTGCTGGTTGCTTTCTTATGCTTCTCTTAACTTTGATGCATTCTGTGCATGTTAAAGCCCCTCTTTCCTCTTTATGTATCACAAAAATTTCAGCTATCTCTTTCTGATTGTTAAGTAAGTTTCTCTGTTATCTCTTTTCAACTTAGAACTCCCTTATTTGTCACAGGACCAGTCCATAGTATTCTAAACATTCATCACTAAAACTACATCATTTTTTTTGCCTTTGTGATAACATTATCTAGCTTTCATTGTCATTTAGGTAGGTAAACATCATATTGCAGTTTAGCATTCTTTTCTTCATTCTTAGTGTTACTTTTGATCCCTTTGTACCTTACTCAATTTTTGCAACTTCTATGAATTTCTGTGTTACATTTTTTTGTTGTCTGCCTAGATAGGTGAATTACCTCATTTTGCCATCCCTAGTCTATAACTTGATATATTAGGCTGTCTCTTTGACTCACCATCATGCATTCTGTTTTATAATTAATTAATTAATGATCAGTCCTTTTTTCTTGCTTTCCTTGACTATCTTGTCTTACTTGCTAGCCTCTTTCAACTATCACTATTTCTTTAGGGCAAGGACCTGTCATGCTATATAAAAATCATCTTCATTCCTCTCATATTCCATTGGTAAGAAGAAAGTTCTACACAGCTTCTTCCTTAGAGCTGTTACTTTGTGGAACAAACTCTCAAGATGATGCTTCCCTGATCAGCATAATCTTAATCTCTTTGAGTGTAACGTTAACCAATACAATTCTTCATAATCTGCACATCTTACTTCCTCCTCTCACATCCATATAACAACCTCCTCCTTCAGTAACCCTCTACTTTGATTGGCTCTTGGGCATTGTATTTGGTGAACAATAGTATAAGAAAATGTTTCCGTTCTAAATTTCCCATTAACACAGAACCATCTCCATAGTAGATGTTGCTACAGTTGTGTCTGCCAATAATAAGTCCTAGTTGGTTCCCTAATTCTCTTAGAATCATGCTACTGTAGTGCAGTGATTCCCAAACTTTTTTCTCTGGACTGCATTTTCAAATTTTATGTGATAAAAAGTACATTTAAAAAAAAATAGAGAAAGGATTAAAGGGAGATAACTGGATTCAAAGCCAGAATATGATCATTGATAACTCTCTCGTCTAATTTGTGGATAATAGTTACTATATTCTTAATACTTGATAGAATGCAAAAATGTCACAATGATAGAATTGCTCAATAATTCTTTATAACTATTCACACTGGGATTCATGCATGCAATTACAAGTAATATATAATAATATTTTAAATTCTTAAATCATATTTATTTTTGGCATATTAATTTTTTGAAACCGTTTCTAAATCTTTGATTGTCTTTTGATCATTCTGACTCACTTGCTATCCTCTTCTACCACACCTGTGAGGTGCACAGCACCATTTGGGGACCACTGCCATAGAGAATAAATAAATCTGATAAAATACATCTTGGTGGCACTCTTCTATTTTGATATATATATATACACTTAATTCATTGTCTATTCACAGACAAGCATTTATACAATTTCACTTGTTATTAAACAACAATAAATCTATCCACAAGTCTACTGGATAACCAAGACAAAGAAAAAGAAAGGAAAACAATTATAGTTTTCATTTCACATTATTTTTATAATTATACAAGGTAGATTTTATGAAAAGTAATAATTAAACAGCTACTTCTGGATTGTGAAAACTGATTCTGAAATAATAATAATAATGATCACAACTGAGCTTCATACCATAACTTTTTAAAGTGAGACAATGCATGCATCTAACATGCACGCTCATCATATACAGAGCTAAATGTTGTTTTTTTCATTTTCAAATTAATATTAAGCTTGGTGAAATAAAAATCATCAATTTGGTTAGGTACATTTAGAAGATGGAAAGATTGCTGGAATGTAAATGCAATATACTTTTAGACAATTCTAAGTTTAATAAGTTATTTGAGGACAGTTTTATAAACACGATGACAGAAAATTGTTTTAAAATATAGTTTAAAAATTGCAGAATATTTTTAAAAAAATAAAATCAATTAACCCAATTAGTTAATTACTTGTACGTAACTAGTAGCAAACACATGATTACACCACTGTCAGCAATTAGAATGAATGATGATTTGATTTTGAAGCATACCAGGAAGAGATTTACCTATAATCCGAAAATGTCTCAACTGTAGGCACCATATTTTGGACAAGTGATAGCTACAGTCTGACACCAAAGTTTACATACAAATGAAACCTTTCTTTCATTTCTACTAGATTTGATCCTTTTCTCCCACTTTGTTTCTTTTTTTTCAACAACTGAAGCATATTTTCTTTTTTCTCTCAAATCTGTAGCAAATTTGTTTGTTGGTTTCTTTTCAAAATGAAAGGGACTGAAAAATAAGTTCATGGTCAATGAGAAGCAGATCCATAACCATTAAAAAACTAACTGGACTGGCTTTTCTTCTTTTTTTCATATTTCTCACTCTTTCCACTCCCAAATATTTAAACACTTCCATTTACAGGCAAAATAAAAATGAACATCAATTCCTTTTTTTACTTTGTCTCCCAACTGCTGAGATTTTGTCTACTGCTCTGTCCCCACACTTACTTACCTTAATGTCTTTTTTGTTTGCATGTGTCATATAGCAGAGATTATTAACATCTATATTAATTGTAGATGCCTACTAGCAGACTGTTTCATTTTAGAAGATTAATTCTTCCATATTATGTTTTTCTCTACTATGACAGGTAAAAATGTAATTTCACTTATGAACACTACTGTTTTTACAGTTTCTCTTTTTCAAGCTCAACTTCAGTGTAAATATATAAGTAAGCAATAAATTTAATTTCTTCCATCCAAAGTAAATTTGAAACTCGGAAAGAAATAAAAAATAGAACATAAACTAATTCCCATGCTACAAATCTCCAATTCATTAAATACTGAAACAAAAATGATCAGAGAATATTTGCAGTAGATTCTTTAAAAGATCTAAAAAGTGTGTGTGTGTATATATATGGATATTAGTTAATAACAGGATTCATATATGACCACTTGTTAATAATCACAGAATATACACCAGCAGCATTTCTGAACTTCAAAACATAAACTGAGAACATAGCAATTCAAAGTAATTTAATAAAATTAGTTAAATTATTTTATGGGAGCAAAGAAATGGGTAGTGGTTTGGATTGAGGAATCAGAAAACCAAGTTCAAATTCTAGTTTGTTACATTCACTTACAAGCAAATATTGCTAGGAAATATAAGAATCCATCTCTTCTCCCCCCCCCCAGCTATGAGGTAAATAGCAGGACAGACTGGGTCCTATAGCCTTGGGTGACAACTAGTTAAGGAAAAGGACAATTTTGAATTCAAGCTTCCAACTATGGGTTAAATAGCCTCACCAACTTGCAATTTGCCAATCATAATGAGTACAGTTACAACCCTGAAGACATGGTCAATCAGAGTATGGTTTCTCCAAGGAGTGAGAAGGCCCTGGATCTGGATTAATGAGCTGTGTGTGTGCATATGTGTGTATTTGGGCAGCAATCCCTCTTTTATTTAATTTTTCTTGTGCTCTTATAATTTTATCTTTTCTGGACATAAATTTGTAGAAATTGTTTAAGCGTTCTGTATGTCAGTTAAAAATAAAAATAAAATCATCCTTGATATGGCTAAAAGAATAGCCAAATGTAGTCAGACATAAAGAACATTCACACAATTTTATATATATATCACTCACACAGATTAAAAATATAGGGAAAAGAAGTTGAAAATGCAACTGGAGTCTTTAAGTATATTTAGAGTAACTTTACTAGTTTCACAGTTCTGATTTTCAAAAGTAAATTGAGATGGAGAGGCATGTGGCTATGTTATAATATGCCTCACATCCAACAGATGCAAGGCATATCATAGCATGGCCATACACCACATGATATGCAAGACGTTTCATAGTATAGTCACATGCCTCTCCATCACAATTT